CCTTCTGTTTGTGAACCGGGATAATAATATCCCCCGCTGGGAATGGAAATGAGCTCCGTAAACAGTCAAGCGTCAAGCAAAGGAGAGGCGTGCTCTGGCCTCCTCCATCCCGGGGCCCATGGGAAGGGGGTGCGCAGAGCGGGCCCGGCCCACGATGTTCCCCTCCAGATGGCAACAGACAGCCCCGTGAGGCGATGTAGGAACAGCACAGGGCGGAACAGCCCGTCCGGGACACCCACCTCCCCACCCCCGGCTCACACTGGCCAGAGATCCAGACTGAGAAATGACTCAGACACGCAAACACCCTCGGCTCAGAGGAAACTCGGCACAGCCAGGGGTTGCAGGTGGCGGCACTCACAGGGATGGGGCTTCCTCCTGTACCCCACCCCTCCACCCAGCCACCATCAGTGGCCTGAAATGGTGCCACGGACCCCTCCCATTCTGAGCAATTGCTCTATACCAGATTCTTACAGATACGTGTGGACTCCTAAGTGGTCATGAAGATTCTTGCCGGTCATAGGACAAAACCAGGGATTCTAGGGGTAAATTACTGTTGATGTCACCATCCTTTGCTATTATTAGGTAATCTGGCCAAGCTTACACACTAATCAATATTAGTCCCCGTCACAACCACAACAATGACTACTGGCCCTTCCGACCGGACTCCCAGCCTTGGGGGTCGCAGGAGCACCGTGTTCCAGAATCCCAGCCTCCCTCCCCCACCGTCCAACGCACCCCCTCGAAGCACAGCCTGTCCCTCTTTTGGGCTGACTTTGTGTGATGAAGTGACACCCAGCAAATGGCCCAGGCCCACGGCATTCGAGCGATTTTCGGCTGCAGTCCCTTTACCTCCAATAAAGTCTGACCCCTGCGCCAGACCCCTTCCTTTTCCCGGCCGGCCATCTGAGGGGTCCCTGGTGGCCTCTGGGAAGAGGGGAGCTGCAGGGATCCCTTTCATTTTCCAGCTGAGCTGCTGGCTCTGGGCCGACGCTGCCGAGCACCCCACAGAAGGTGACCGCCCTCTCTGGCTCGATCACCAGCACGAAGGCAGGGCCTCTCCTTTGGGACTGCTGGTCACGGATGCCCCTTGCCCGCCCCCAAGCAAGGACATGCCTCCTGCTCTGTCCCTCTCCCCTGTCCCCAAGCCCCGTCCCACCTTGCACCTCTGCAGGATCCAGATTCCCCCTCCAAGAATATCAGAACTAAGACCAGCTCATCTCGCCAATCCTCTTACGGTCTAAGCCGGCGCTGTCCCCGGCGGCGGCTGCTGGCCACGTGTGGCAGATGGAGCACTTGAAATGTGACAAGTCCAAACTGAGACCCACGCTTGACGTCAAATACACACCAGTTTTAAGACTTGGTACAAAAACCGAATGCAAAATATCTCAATAATTTTTATTTTGATTGCATGTTGAAAGGATTATACCTTAGATATGTTGTGTTAAATATATTATTGAGAATAGTATTAATTACGTTTTATTTTATGTATGACTACTCGTAAATTTAAGATCAGAGGAGGGGCTGGACTTGGTGGCTCACATCTGTAATCCCTGCATTTTGGGAGGCCGAGGCGGGCGGATCACCTGAGGTCAGGAGTTCAAGACCAGCCTGGCCAACATGGTGAAACCCTGTCTCTACTGCCGGGCATGGTGGCGCATGCCCATAGTCCCAGCTACTTGGGAGGCCAAGGCAAGAGAATCGCTTGAATTCAGAAGGCAGAGTTTGCAGTGAACCGAGATCATGCCACTGCACTCCAGCCTGGGCAACAGAGCGAGACTCTGTCTCAACAAAAATAACAAAAGAAATCTGAACTTTGTCTGGATAGCAACTGAGGGTGTCTGAACAAAGCAATGACATTCTCAGAGCTCTCCAGAGGCTGGGAACTCTGTCCTTCCAAAATGGGCGCACCGAGAGGAGCTGGAAGACAGAGATGGCCTGTAGGTGACTCATCTGGTTGCTCCTTGGTAGCATTGAGCCAGGCAACAAGCGTGCAAGGCTTGTCGATGAAAACAGCAAAACCAGAGCTCACCAGGCAGCCGAGTGCACCCAGTAGCCCCCTGTGGGCAGTTCCGCGTGTCTGACCTTAGTTAATCATACAGCTAGGCAACAAGGGGACACCAAGCCGTTGAGCACTGATGAGGTCTTGAATGAACAAGTGAATGAATGAATGAATGAATGAAGGCTGATGACTGTCGTCTCCAGTCCTTACATTATATATTGCATGCTTTGGGCTACACAGCACGGATATTCAGTACGATGGATTTGATTCTGAATTGAGGCCTCTTTTGATGTACAGATTTGATGTACAGATTTACATGTACAGATTGCAGGTACAGATTGTGTGTACAGATCACATGTACAGATTGCATGTACAGACTTACATGTACAGATTTACATGTACAGATTGCAGGTACAGATTGCGTGTACAGATCGCATGTACAGATTTACATGTACAGATTTACATGTACAGATTGCAGGTACAGATTGCATGTGTGCAGTCCCATTGCATGTATGTTCGTGGAACTCCTGCCATGAGCAGAGGCTGCTAAGCAGAAGCAGCGCACAGGCTGAGACAGGACGCAGGGCCCGGGGCCCGGGGGAGAGGTCTATTCCAGCCACCTCAAGTCTATCCCTGCGAGGGCCCCTCCACACCCCTCCTGGATCCCCCCACTGCAAGCTCTCTCCCCCTGGCTCCGGACTCTCCCCGTCCTGGAATTAATAAAGACTGTGTGCAGACTGCGGTTTGCAAGTCTGAAAGCTGGTTCCTGCCCACGTCACTGCCTCAAGAGGAAAAGGGTCCAGCTCCCCACAGCACCCCCTGCCTTCCTCCTTCCCAGGAAGTGGGAGACACCAAGATGCGCCACTGACTTCCCCTCCCTTTCAGCAGGCACATCCCAGGCATCGAGCCTCGGACCCTGCCCCTGAGCAGCCCCGACCCCCACCAACAAAGGCTGGCTTGGGGTGGGGCTTTCACCTCAGCACAATCTTCATCAGCCACCCTCAAGCCACCCCCAAATAAATACATACCATAAGTAACAGCTGTACATGGGCTACGTGTGTACATCTTCAAGACAATTCTCCTGGCACGTCCCCACCTTCCAAAATTACAGAGCTGCTCCCTCCAAAGACCCAGGAAAGGGAAGAGTTTGTCCAGGGTCCCGGGGTGGCCCCTTATAGACCGGAGCCTGATAGCTGTCCTCGAAACAAGAACAGCTCTTCCAGGATGAGTGATGGCAGTCATGGTATTAACGCCAGTCCTAGTGCCAGCTGAACACAGAGCATTTTTGATCTAGAAGAACTACAGGACCACAATGTATTTACCTCTGCAATAATCTCTTAGCTGGGAATGTGGATCACCCTTAGACAGATGAGGAAACCGACGCTCTATGGAGAGGTTATCCCACTAGAAAGGCTAGAGCCAGAAATTTACTTCTAGGTCCACCAATGTCTGCCTTTGACCAGTGCCTGCATTTGACCTTGCCACTCAGGGCCACCCGTGCTGGCACTCCAGACTGCAACAGTGATCCTGGCTGCACAAGGTGGCCTTTAACCCATCCCTTGGAGCCACCATGCTTCAGCGAAAGGCCCACGGAGCGTGTGGCTTCCATGCTGAGTCCTGACCGGCTGTGACCCAGGACCAGCAAGTTTCCCTCTCCTGTTCTCTGTGGGCCTCACATTTCTTCCCCACTAGCAACAGTGGGAAGTGAAGAGTCGGGGCCACGACCCTCTCCTGTTCTGCCCCACACATTCCAACACCCAAAATTCCCCAGGGCCCGGGTCCAGCTCGGTCCTGGGAGCAGCAACGCGGAGTTCTACAGGAATGCGGTCCCAGCTGTTCTAATGCAGGTCGCCCCCTCCTGGCCACCCGAGGAATGTCAGCCCCAAGCCTTCCCAGAGGGGCCGGAGAACCGCAGTCCAGAGGCTCCCAGGCTGATCTGGGCCAGCCGAGCTCAGCGTGGGGGTGGGAGGTGACCCAGTGATCACGGGAAGCCGGGCTGCCTCTCAGTCTGCAGGGGGCTCCCACCTCCCCGTTCCCGGGACCACAGGGCACCTGGGGATCCAGCCTGATTTTTGCCAGCCCCTGAGGCCTGCACGGGGCGGAGTACAGGCTGTGACCTTGACCCATGCAGAATAGAACCCTGAGTGTCGGGGTCCTCCCTGTGCTCCAGATGTCCCAGGAACAGCACTGACAACGGCCTTAACTCCCAGGCCATTCCCCTGCCTCTAGCCCGCTGGCCCCTGCAGGCATCCACCCCAGACCCAACACCTCCGCCCCAGCTGCAGGCAGGAGGCTGAGACCTCGGCCACCGCAAAAGGCAGCCCTGTCCGGGGTCCCCTACCACCCGCCGGGTCCCTCCCAGAGCCATCCCATCCTGATCCCACCTTCCAGGCCATTCAACCTGCAGCCCCCTGACCTCTGCAGACATGGCCTCCCACCCCCACCCCCACCCCGGGAAAACCCAGACCTGCCCGACACCTCCCCTCCCTAGCTTTGGGCAGAACCTGTCTCTAGCCAGGCCTGGGGGGGTCGGGGAGTCTGGAGGGCCGGGGTGGGGGCCGAGGCGCGGGACAGCTGGCCTGTGTCCCCACACTGGGCCCGGGGCCCAGCCGGAGGGGCGGGAGCCTGGCCACTCGGGCCTTGGCTGGGGCTGGGATTTTTTGGCCGGGCCGCCAGGCCCTCCCTCCCGCTTCCTCTCCCGAGGGCTGTCCTGGCAGGGGCCCCCCTCGCACTTTCTGGCGGGAACAGGGCCAGCAGCGAGAGAACAGTCGCGGAGGGAAAGCGGGAAAGAGATGGGGGAGAGTGTGTGTGTGAGTGTGCGCTTGTGCGCCCGTGTGTGCGTGTGTGTGTCAAGGAAGAGAGCCTGCGGTCCAGCAGCCCGAGCCCGGGAGGCTTGTGAGCCCGGCCTTTCGTAATTGTCCCCTCCCCGCGGCCCCCTCCCCCGGGCCTCCCCCCTCTCCCGCCCTCCCGCCCGCCCTCTCTCCCTCCCTCCTTCCCTCGCAGCCGACGAGGCAGCAATTAGGCTTTGGGGATAAAACGAGGTGCGGAGAGCCGGCTGGGGCATTTCTCCCCGAGATGGCGGGTCTGACGGCGGCGGCCCCGCGGCCCGGAGTCCTCCTGCTCCTGCTGTCGATCCTCCACCCCTCTCGGCCTGGAGGTAAGGGCCCCTCGCCCCGTCCCCAGCGCTGCCCGCAGCCGCGGGCCCTTCGGGCCAGGTGACTGGACGCGCAAGAGGGAGACCTTCACCCCGGGGTCCTCCAAGGGGTCCCAGGTGGGAGCCCCTCGGCCGCTGCCCGTCCAGGAGCCGGCCCCATGCCCAGCAGGAACCTGCCAAACACACCCTTGGCTCAGAATAGTCCCAACCCGGCATCCAGGCTTTGCTGCTCTGCGAGGGCTGAGGGGGTCCCCACTCAGGTGCCTGCCCCGTGGGGGGGGGGGTCAGAGCATCCTGGGGGAGGGCCCAGCGGGAACCCCTGGGTCTGGAGGCGCCGCAGTCTGCACACCTGTGGACACAGCCGGGTGTGGACACGCCGGCCCTGGGGACGGGGACCTGGGTTTGAGACCGGCTCGGCCGCAGTGAGCTGTGTGACCTCAGCAGGTTCCTCGCCTCCCTGGGAAGCCGGGATCCCCCGTGAGGAAGGGCACGGTGTGCAGGTTGGGAAGCTGCCGCCAGGGTGGGGACTCCTGGTATGCGTGCGTGCGCGTGCAGGAACGATTGCTCGTGTGTGTATGTGTGAGTGCACAGGTGCGCACTGTGCAGATGCCGCCTATGTCACCGGACAGGGCAAGCGACTTCCGGAAGGTACATAGGTCTGTTGACGGGTCCACGCTGAGACAGGTGTGCGTGTGTTTGGGGGAGGTCCACGAAGCTGCTCCGGAGCGTGTGGGAAAGCCTGCCACCGACGGACAGGTGGACCTGTGCGCGTGCAGACACGGGCGATCTGGCCTCCAGGTGTGGCACTGGTGTGGATTGTCACTGTGTGTGTGACGGGGCGTGAGCGTCTGTGTGTGTGAATGTGCGTGTGATGTGGCATGCGGGCACGAAGAGGCGGGCTGGAGAAGGCGTCTGTCTCCTGGCAGAGGCCGTGTGGCCGTGTGGACGGGGCACCTGGGTTTGAGACCAGCTCAGCCGCAGTGAACTGTGCGACCTCAGCAGGCTCCTTGACTTCCCTGGGAAGCCGGGATCCCCCATGAGGAAAGTCAGAGCTCTGCTGTTTGACGCTAGGGCATCTGCTGTGTGCCCCGACCCAGGCACAGTTGGGGATGGAGTTTGAGGGTGTCCCTTGCGGGGCTGCTATGATGTGGACAACTGGGGGACACCGAGGATGCTCCCTGGGCATGGGAAAGAGGAGGGCATTTGGTAGGGGGGTCTGGATGGGGTCTGGTTTCCTTGGGAGTCCTCCTTGCCATGAGAACCAGGCGCTGAGTAGGGGGCAGGGGGGCCACAGGGTGGAGTCAGGGGCCCGGGCAGGAGCTGCAGCTGTTTCCGTGAGATTGGACGGTCTTCCTGTTCAGGGCCGGCTGCTGGACCTGGGAGAGCCCAAGGGACGTGGGTACCAATAGGCGGGGCCTGGCGGGGGCAACAAGCCAGGTCCGAAAGCCGCAGTTCGGGTCCATCTCAGCCTCCTCCCCAGGTGTACCCCCCCCAAACACCCAGCCACCCGCCTTCCCAGATGGAGCCACCACCTATAGCGTGGCTGCTCATCATCGAGGAACCTTGGGAGTTAGAAATGATTGGCATCGCTTGGCAAACGCTTCGGCAGGCTGTGACAGTCCCTGGGACGTTAATATCAGTCAACTCTCTGCCCCAGGTCAGAGAGCGAGGGGGTCAGGAGTGAGCTAGCAGGCAGCATTCAGGAAAGGTCTGGGGTTCAGTCCAGTCCTTCATAGCGGGCATGCCCTGGGCGGAATCAGCCCTCGTCCGTGTCCTCAGCGACACTGCGAAAAGCCCAGCTGGCCCGGCTCTTCGCAGAGATCAATCTCAGCTCTGTCCCAGGTGGCTGGACTTTCGAGGTCCAAATAAGGGGCGTGTGAACTGATGGGCTCTTCTGGGGTTTTGCACAGACGTCCTACTGAAGTCTGCAGAGGTCAGGGAGCCGAACAGGCCGTGGGGCGCTCTGTCACGCGCTCACGGCCGCGCACCTGGCCGCCCTGGGAAGCCTGGCTTCTCCCTCAAAGAGGGGGGTGTCATTTATGCAAGCTCCTCATCTCCAAGGGACCCTGTTGGGGGCGGGGTGGGGGAGCAGGAGGAGGGGACAAGCCACCCAGCCCCCACCCTGTTTCAAAAGTGAGCATCAGAAATGAACCCAGGTATCATTCTTCCCCATTCCCCAGAAATAGTATCAGATTTGGGGTTTTTATTTTGTTTTCTGATTTCAGAACTAAAGATAGTTGAAACAGGGGTTTCCTTTTCTTTCTTTTCCGTTTTTTATTTGTTTACCTTGCTTTTTTTAAAATTTGAGATGGGGTCTCACTGTGTTGTCCAGGCTGGTCTGAATCCCTGGGCTCAATGGATCCTCCCACCTTGGCCTCCCGAAGTGCTTAGATTACAGGCATGAGCCACCGCCTCTTTTTAAATATTTTTTAATGATTTTTTTCCCTGTCCTGACGTAGCAACAGGAGTTTTCAACCTGGCTATCTACCAGAGTTTCCCCCCTCCAAGAATCCCTGCTCGCTTTGGTTGGGGAGGGACCTGGACCCGGAGCCTTTTCAAGCTCCCCAGATGACAGTGGGTCGCCGGGGCAGACAGCACGGGTTCGGAGGTGGATCCCACTCCGTATGTCTGTCTGCTGGTCCCCAGCATGAGGGCGAATGTGCCCTGCGTGGGAGGGGACAGTCACCGAGTAGAGGACAGCTTGTTTTTGAAAAACCCTTGGCAGCCTTCTGCACACAAACAACAAACAGCCTCGTGTGGTCTTATCTGCTCTCTGAGCCGGCCCCTTGGACTTCGGTTTGGCAAAGCCCCTGCCAAGGCCGGCTGGCCCCAGGCTCGCTCCCAAACAGCCCGCTCCCAGCTCTTTGAACCTGGAGCCCAGGGCCCGGGCAGACAGCCCTACATGAGACTTGGGGTCAGCTGGGGGTCCCAGACCAGGCACTACAGCTCGCTGGTTCTCCGTTTCCCCAGTTGCAAAATGGGGAGAAACATCCCTGCCTGCAGTATCTCCTAGGGCCAATGAGAGCTTCCAGCAATGTAATATCTGGGGGGGAAAAAAACGCATCCAATAAAATGACCGTGGGGCTGGGCCTTTCAAAACAATCTCTTCTCTTATTCAGAGTCTGCTCATTTGGGCTCTTGATTCTGGAATTCGTTCACATTTCTAAGGGTTCATTCTCCCTCTCGCTACGTACGCCAGGTTTTGTCGGGTGGGGAGGCGGCTCACGTGTAAATAGACGTGCGGTGATAAAAGACGAAGACAGGACAGGGTTGGGAGTGGCCAGAAGGAGCATGGGGAAATCCAGGAAGGCTTCCCAGCAGAGGTGACATTTGAGTTAGACCTCAAACTAAAAGTAAACGGGGCCAGATGCAGTGGCTCATGCCTGCAATCCCAGTACTTTGGGAGGCCTATGTGGGCAGATCGCTTGAGCTCAGGAGTTTGAGACCAGCCTGGGCAACATAGGGAGGCCCCCGTCTCTATTTAAAAGATAAATAGGCCGGGCGCGGTGGCTCAGGCCTGTAATCCCAGCACTTTGGGAGGCCGAGGCGGGTGGATCACGAGGTCGAGAGATCGAGACCATCCTGGTCAACATGGTGAAACCCCGTCTCTACTAAAAATACTAAAAACTAGCTGGGCATGGTGGCACGTGCCTGTCATCCCAGCTACTCAGGAGGCTGAGGCAGGAGAATTGCCTGAACCCAGGGGGCGGAGGTTGCGGTGAGCCGAGATTGCGCCATTGCACTCCAGCCTGGGTAACAAGGGCGAAACTCCGTCTCAAAAAAAAAATAAAAATAAAAATAAAAATAAAAGATAAATAAATAAACATTTAAAAATCAATAAATAAGAAAGAAAGGTAAATGTGGCAGGGGCAGTCCGGGGATGAGGGGCAAGTCTCACACTCACAGGATCTAGCAGGCAGAACTGAAGAGACAGAGGAGCAGACTCCTTCTTGATTGGAGGAAACCCCGTCTGCGGGCAGTGCTAACAGCATCTGGAGGTGGTGATTTTCCCGTCACGGGAGGTATGCAAGCAGAACACGAAGGATGTTTGCGGAAGGAGGTCCAGCCCAGGCCAGAAGGCTATTATGATCCCTGAGAGTCTCGGATCGTGATTCTAAGATGCAAGAGACAAGTTCCACCCTGGGCTAGTCGGTGAAACATGCCAAAACCACATAAAACAAGACAAGCATTCTCCAAGCCAACTGCCGAGCGCCAGCTGAGCAGCGCAGTCAGGGAGAGCCGGAGGCTGGGGAAAGGCAGTCGGGAGAGTCTCCGCTCAGCCCTGGTGCAAGGGTAGGGCTTGGACGGACGCGAGGACATTCCTGGCAGGAGAAACGGCTTGTGCCAAGGAGCGGAGGGAGAAGTGAGGATGCCCCGCGGGGCACGGGGAAGAGGCTGGTCACCTTTCCAAAGGCCCTTCCAGCATCCAGCTGCTGCCTCACCGTATTCCCGCCTCTCTGCGCCTGCCGACAGACAGGAACCCTTTGCAGCCCCTGAATCTTCTACATTTCCTCATTGCAAAATGGGGATTAAAACTTCGGGCCTCCCCAGGCCCTCACGGTTCAGGCGTGAAGTCTGGCAAATGCCGTCACCATCAGGATCTGAACGGGGGCGGGGGGTGGAGAGTGAGGACGGAGGAGAGCTGGGGGAGGGAAAGCTGAGTCTTCCCCCAGAAAGACTCCTGGGGTGTGGGAGGGCAGAACCCCAGGAGAAAGAAAGGCAGGTTCAGCCAGGCCCGGAGCGTCAACAAGCCTGAGGCAGGGGGACCCCTAGGGCAGATGGGGATGAAGGTTAGAGCCGGATCCACAGACAACCTCCCTGTCTCCTCTCCACTTGATTCACCCATCACGTATTGAGTAACTGCTGTATACCTAGCCCCGGGCAGGGGACCGTGCAGTGAAGTGGAAAAAATGAAACGGAAGGGCCACTGTCTTTTTACCGTTGGGCAATGACTGTGTGCCAGGTCCAGAAGAGAACCCGGCCCGTTACTTGAACCCTTTTACAACTTGCAGCAACTTGGCAACCTTGCAGCAACCAAGTGATCATCTGCCTCCTGTTGCAAAAAAGGCAACGGATATTCAGAGAGGTTGAGTGACCTGCCCAAGGTCACACAGCTGGTCAGAAGCAGCAAAGCCAGAATTAGAAGCCAGAGGGGTCTGTCCTGAGTGTCTTGCTCTCTTGCTCTTCCCCCGACCTCCATCACACTGTTCCGTGCAGTCTGCTCTGGAGCCGGAGAGCAGAGAGGAAGGAACAGAGGGACGTGAAGAAGGAGGGAGGTGGGAGGAAGAGGAGGAGGGAGAAGCCGAGGCAGAGAAAGGCGCGTAAGACACTGTGCAGAGCTGGAGGCCGGAGCCAGAGAAGGCATCTGAGGCCCGGGGCGGGCCATGTGTGCGCTTGGCAGTGATGGCAGGGCCCGAGTGCTCCTTCCCAGCAGGCCCAGCCCCCGCGGGGCCACTGCTCCGAGCCTCGAGGTCCTGACCAGATCACTTGCACACTTCAGGCCTGGATTGCAAGGACTGGGGAACCACAAGTCGGGGAGCGGGTGGCACTGGGGTCTTGGCACGGGATGGCTGTGACGGCTCCGCGGCCCCGACCCTGCTGGGCTGCAGCTGAGGCTGACAGGGCCCTGAGGCCAGCAAGCCCAGCTGGGCAGCGTCGCCAGGCCTCGGAGGCCAGACGTCTGGCCGCGAGGCCTCCCTGGACACACTGCCCATGTGCCAGACACAGTCCCTGAGCTCCACCCATGCCCCACGGGACTCCCGGCCCCTTTCAGCGAAAGGAGCCAGGGAGGGCAGGGCTGGGGCGTTGGCAAGGTGGCTTGTCAAGCTCAGAGGGGGGCCTGGTGAGGTGGAGCCAGGGCCCCGGTTTGGGACCGGGTCTGTTGCCATGGCGACAGCGAGGGTCTGGAGCCAGCGTCGCGGCATTCCCCAGTGAGAGCTTCACTGGCCCATGGGGACTGAACTCGTGATCCTGCCTGGCCGGTGAATTCGCTTTTCCTTAGGAAACTATTCACTGTGCTCATTCACGGCGTCCCCCTGCGGCCCCGGCGCCTCCTAAGACAGCTGGTGTCAGACGGCCAGAGCCCCACCCAAGCTCGGCTGCCCAGTGGCTGAGGACGCTGACCTCACGCCGTCCTATCAGTGTGGGAATGCTGCGCCTCCTGCATGCTCGCCGTGGCAGCCCGGCCTGCCCTTCCCGAAGCTCTGGCCTCTACCCGGTGGCTCGGCTCCGGGAGAGACTGGGCCGCCTGGTGAGAGGCGCTCAGACCTCGTGTCTCCCGCCCCAGGCCCCTCCCCGACTCCAGGGAGAACCAGGTAACACAGTGAGAACCATCAAACCATACTCAAAGGACTGGAAGCAGGGCGCAGAGGTCTGTCATCCTAGCACTTCGGGAGGCCAAGGTAGGAAGACAGCTTGAGCCCAGGAGTTCAAGACCAGCCTGGGCAACATACTGAGACCCCCCCCCCACCGTCTTTACAAAAGAATAAATTAGCCAGGCATGGTGGTGCATGCCTGTAGTCCCAGCTATTTGGGAGGCTGAGGCAGGAGAATAGCTTGAACCCAGGAGGCCGAAGATCACAGAGCCAAGATCGCGCCACTACACTCCAGCCTGGGCCACAGAGCGAGACTCCATCTCAAAAATAAAGGACTGGCCTGAGCTTGAATCCAGGCTCCATCTCTCTCCAGCTGTGTGGCCCCAGGCATGCCCCTTAACCTCTCTGAGCCTGATTTCATGTCTGTTAAAATGATAATCTCCGGACGCAGTGGCTCACACCTGTCATCCCAGCTCTGTGGGAGGCCGAGGCAGGCAGATCACTTGAGGTCAGGAGTTTGAGATCAGCCTGCCCAACATGGTGAAACCCAGTCTCTACTAAAAACACAGAAATTAGCTGCGCATGGTGGCACACGCCTGTCATCCCAGCTACTCAGGAGGCCGAGGCAGGAGAATCACTTGAACCTGGGAGGCGGAGGTTGCAGTGAGCCAAGATCATGCCTCTGCACTCCAGCATGGGGAACGGGGCAAGACCTCATCGCAGCCTCAAAAAAAAAAAAAAAAAAAAAACCGTGGTAGTAAGCTCCGCCTTCCAACTTCACAGGCCCATTTCAAAGAGCAGGAACGAGAACACACTTTGTAAATAGAAATCGTCCTGGAGACAAGCGGTGTCACTGTCGCCATCAGCGTCATTCTTGTTTCCACTGAAAGTAACGGCAAAACCACAGTCACTCTTGCACCCACCTGATCATTCTGGCTCCCGGAGGACTGACTCGGCCTGTTTCCTTGCAGGGGTCCCTGGAGCCGGAGTTCCTGGTGGAGTCTATTATCCAGGTAATGTACATGAAACTTCCACACACCCAAGTCGCGCGGATGATGATGATGTCCATAATAGATGCACATGTTCACATCCTAGAAGGTAGGCACATTGACACGCCTGCCAGAAGCGATGCCCACTTCAAAATGCAATTAAGAAGACACTGATTTACAGCTGTTAAGAGCATACAGGCTTACGCCTGTAATCTCAATATTTTAGGAGGCAGAGAAGGGAGGATTGCTTGAGGTCAGGAGTTTGAGACCAGCCTGGACAACATAGTGAGACCCCTCTCTCTACACACACCAAAAAAATTTTTAAATTACCTACATTCTATGTTGAGAAAAACGAAAATGAAGCATAGAAATTAAAAAAAAAAAAATTAGCTGGACATGGTGGTGCATGTCTGTAGTCCCAGCTACTGGGGAGGCTGAGGCAGGAGGATCACCTGAGCTTAGGAGTTCAAGGCTACCGTGAGCTCTAATCGCATCACTGCACTGAAGTCTGGGTGACAGTAAAACCCTGTCTCTAAAAAGAAAAAGGAGGCCAGGCACAGTGGCTCACACCTGTAATGCAAGCATTCTGGGAGGCTGAGGAGGGTGGATCACGAGGTCAAGAGTTCGAGACCATCCTGGCCAACATGGTAAACCCCATCTCAACTAAAAATACAAAAATTAGCCAGGCATGGTGGTGCGTGCCTGTAATCCCAGCTACTCAGAAGGCTGAGGCAGGAGAATCCCTTGAACTGGGGCAGGGGAGGTTGCGGTGAGCTGAGATCATGCCACTGCACTCTAGCCTGGTGACAGAATGAGACCCTGTCTCAAAAAAAAAAAGAAAGAAAAATCAAGAGTAATACATCCAATACTTAAAAATAATTTAAGTGTGCAGAGCTGACATGGAAGTAGGGAGAGACACCAGCACCCCCCCCCCCCCAGATACAAACTGGCACAAGGTTGTTGGCAAAGCAGAAGAGGAAATGGAGGCTCGCAGAGGGCAGGGCTTGCCCAGGGTCGGGTCGTTCGGCAGGGGTGGAGTCAGCACGGCTGGGGTGGAGCGGGCTCGCCGGGCAGGAGTACCAATGCCCTCTCTCTCTCTTTCCCCCAACAGGGGCTGGTCTCGGAGGCCTTGGAGTAGGAGGTGAGCTCAGAAACCACACTTGCTCTTCACTGAAGGGGCCTGGGTCTCACCCGGGCACACACACCTCAGACCTGGGCATCCCGAGGCCTGCGCATCGAGGACTCCCCGATTTCACAGGCAGCATCCAGGCAGGGGGAGGAGGCTTGTCCAAGAACCAGAATCCACTGTCCTTCCCCGTCCCCCACCAGGCTTCATCCCTGGTGCCTCTGCCTTCCTATTTCTTCTTCCTTCTTTTTTTTTTTTTTTTTTTTTCGTTTTTTTTTTTTTTTTTGAGACGGAGTTTCGCTCTTGTTACCCAGGCTGGAGTGCAATGGCGCGATCTCGGCTCACCGCAACCTCCGCCTCCTGGGCTCAGGCAATTCTCCTGCCTCAGCCTCCTGAGTAGCTGGGATTCCAGGCATGCGCCACCATGCCCAGCTAATTTTTTGTATTTTTAGTAGAGACGGGGTTTCACCATGTTGACCAGGATGGTCTCGAGCTCTCGACCTCGTGATCCACCCGCCTTGGCCTCCCAAAGTGCTGGGATTACAGGCTTGAGCCACCGCGCCCGGCATTTTTTTTTTTTTTTTTTCGAGACAGTCTCATTCTGTCGCCCAGGCTGGAGTGCAATGGCGCGATCTCGGCTCACCGCAACCTCCGCCTCCCGGGCTCAGGCAATTCTCCTGCCTCAGCCTCCTGAGTAGTTTTTGTATTTTTAGTAGAGACGGGGTTTCACCCTGTTGGCCAGGCTGGTCTCGAACTCCTGACCTCAGATGATCCACCCGCCTCAGCCTCCTAAAGTGCTGGGATTACATGCATGAGCCACTATGGCCGGCCCCTTTCTATTTCTTTTGCTCCTCAAAAACCTCCCTGCCAAGCCAGCTAGGCAGACACCATCATCCTTTTCTTTTTGAGACAGAGCGTCACTTTTGTTGCCCAAGCTAGAGTGCAGTGGCAGATCTCGGCTCACTGCAACCTCCACCTCCCAGGTTCAGGTGATTCTCCTGCCTCGGCTCCCCAAGTAACTGGGATTACAGGCACCTGCCACCACGCCCGGCCAATTTTGTATTTTTAGTAGAGACAGGTGTTGCCACGTTGGCCAGGCTGATTTCGAACTCCTGACCTCAGTTGACTCACCTGCCTTGGCCTCCCGAAGTGCTGGGATTACAGGTGTGAGCCACCGCCCCCAGCCCATTATCCCCTTTTGAGGCTGAGACTCGGGCTCAGATAGTATAAACCACGCGTTAGAAATAGAGCTAGCCTCCCAGGGCCTCCATGTCCGAGGGGGAGGACCCAGGGCCTGAGATTCCACACTGCCCACACTCTGCCCGGGATGGGGGTTGGATAAGCAGTAGATGGATGGGCTGGACCTCCCCATTCACTGTCTTCTCTTCCCTCTACAGCGCTGGGACCTGGAGTCAAACCTCCTAAGCCAGGTAAGACGCAAGGCCTCAGAGCGTTGACAGAAAGCAAGGGGGCTGGAGAGGGAGGGGTCTACCCAGCTGGTGACGGGACAAGGAAGCCAACGGGCAGGGGGAAGGAGAGAGGTGTGGACCCCGGTTAGCATCGCAGGGATGAGCAGGCCGGGGCCAGGTCCCAGGGCTTCCAGGAACAGGAGGCTGGAGGCAGCTCCACCTGCAATGTCCCCTGCACACACCTGTGTGCGCGCCCAGCCGTGCAGAGGCTCCTCTCTGCAAAGGAGAGGCTGGCTCAGAGACAGCCTCGGTCCTACAGGCAACGTGGGGATTGCTCTGGATCCGGTGGCCTCCAAGCCTGTACGAGACGCTGTGGGGCTCAGACTGCAGATCCTCAGACCCAGATGTCCCCTGAGTGGTCCCCTAGCCCTTGACTCCAAACCAACACCCCAGATAGCCATGACCTTGATGCCATTCTGAGCTCTTCTCCTGACTCCAGGACAGAGCCCTGGTCTCAAGCTGACGCCTGACCCCAGCCCAAGCCAAGCCTAACCCCAGGTTGAACGCTGATCCTGTTGATCCTGGTCTCACAGGACCCCCAACCCTTGCCTCAGGCCCTGTCCCCCAGCCCAAGCTGAGCGCCGACCCCGGGCCCAGATGAGCTCCCCTCCTGATCTCAGGCCCCTTCCAGCTGTATCCAGACCATGGAGATTTCCAGTAAGAAGGTGTGGCCGGATCTATCCCGGCCTCACCCAAGGGACTGGGATCTGCCCCCAGGATCCACTCTCAGCTCTGGGGAATGTACCCCCAGGAAGGAGGGTGCGGGAAACACTGCTGGATAAGGAGCAGGTGGACGGACACAGCATCTCTGTCCAGATTGATGGCCCCTCAGCGTGACATGCTCCACATGTGACTTTGGCTGCCCCACACCCTGAGCTGTGTTGCCCTGGCTCAGAAGCCCAAGGCTCTGGGACGCAGTTTAGATGTCCAAGAGCTCTTATGAAATCCTGACCGTTGATAATCCAAGTGCAAATGAATCTTCAAGCCCCAGATTCCCCTGCGCTGAAAGTCCATCTGGGTTGTGAAACGCCGGGGCTGGGGCCAGGAGAGGCGGGAGGAGAATGGGGTGCCTGGGGTCTACGGGGCTCTGCAAGGCCAGGAGACCGGGGGGGTTGCCACTTATCCCTGCCAGCACCCTGTCTTCCTGGAGCGGGTGAGGGGTCTTGGCAGGGTCTTTGATGGTGGAGAGCGGACAGGGAAGATGAGACTGGCACAGAGGTGTGGAGGTGAGACTGTGCTTGGCCTAGAAGACCCAAATTGTGGAGGTTGTGTCTGCAAAGCTGGAGGGTGCATTCACTGATCCCACTAGCAGCAAGAGACACATAGCAGGTGGTGGTTAAATACCAGAGAAGGACACAACACCCTGAAGAGCTCCAGGATGTACAGCTCCGAAAGTGAAGCTTTTGTTAAGCAAAGATTTAGGTTAGACTTCTGAAAGAACTTCCAGCCCAGGGCGAAGGAGTCGATCCAAAGGAAAGTCAGAGCATCGCCTTCTGATAAAAAGGGCACTGTTTCCTTCCAGGCAAGGGGCTGGATTCCATGACCTCCCTGAAGACTCAGGACGACAAAGGGGTTGGCAGAGTCCCCATGGCACCCCCAGGGAGGCCCCCACATCTGGGCTTCAGGGACGTCCGGGCCTGCCCAGGCAGGGTGGAATGGGGCACAAGCAGCGCGTGTCGTGCTTGGGAACAATTAATCCCTTGGCGATAGAGGGTGGGTGGCCTGGCAGCTGCTTTTCCACGTGGGCGCCACCTCGGGCCCAAGCTGGCCCCGCCCTGCCTCAGTTCTCAGCGGGGGACCAGGCAGCTGGGAGCCAGCATGCCCCACACCCCGAGCCCTAGCCAGAGGGGCAAGGACGAGAAAGAGCTGGGAGCAGCCACTGTGCGCCCAGGGCAGGTTGCACGCACTAGGTGCTTTCTGCGCACATGCTCACTGGTCCCAGGAAGGCAGGCGATGTAACAGCCATTTGGTAGACGGGGGAAACTGAGCCTCATCAGAGAGGGAAATTGACCTGCTCATGCTCATGGAGACGGGGTAGCAGCAGTGGGGTCTGAATCAAGAACTCTGACTCCAGAAAGAAGGACGGGGCTGCGCAGGTCCCTGGCCTCCCAGCTGCGGTCAGCCCCTCTTCGCTCACCCCTCCTTTCCAGGTGCTGGACTCCTTGGGGCATTTGGGGCAGGTGAGTGCAAAGAAAGGAGGGCAGGCAGGGGTGGAAGTGGTCAGGCCAGGGGACAGGACGTGCAGGCGGGGACCGTGGGGAAAAGGGCAGATGACTGCAGAGGGCGGCCCGTCCCCTGCTGCAGCCCCAGCCTCTTCTCACTTCCTATCCAGTCCTCAGCTTCCCCTCCCAGCGCCTCTGTGGAAAGGAAAGATCTGAGCCCGTCCGTTGCCCTCTCTGAGCTCAGGAAACAGGCCTGGCTTGAGAGAAGCAGCTGCCAAAGCTGGTGGGGCAGGGCCCGGGTGCTGGGAACTGAGTCCTGCCTCATCACCAGGCGCTCCCGCCCAGGGGCAGAGATGCCTCTTACATGAGGCTGGCTGAGTCTTAGAGGGGTCCAGTTCCCACTAGCAGGAAATGGGGACGAGGCGTGGTTAGTAACAGGGACCACACCCAGGGGAAGCCAGAGGGGCACCTCTCCGTGGCACGGCCCAGTGGGCTCCAGGTTCGGGATCCGTCCCTGGAGAGGACTCGTCCCTGGGGCTCAGGAATGGCACTTGTAGGAGAGATCCTCACATAATTAGAAGCAAACCCAGTGTGCTTGTGAACTCCAACCTGATGGCCCGTTGGTCCTGGCCCAGGCCAGTGGAATGTCTCCCGGAGTGGGAGATGAAGCGATTGGGCCCAGATGTGGGGAAGAGAGAGCCAGAGGGACCCATTTGGCGTCTAGTAAACATCCGATCAAGGAGACTTCTGAGCTGCAGGGCAGGCTGGACGGAAGGACAGGCAGATGGTGGGGACACGGGAGTTCCCCGATGCAGGTGAAGGGGAGTCAGGCCTCGCTCACAGACTCTGCTCAGCCCCGGCCCTTGCAGAAAGCCCTGCTGAATCCTCCTCTTCTAGGAGAGGCACAGGCCCGGCCTGGGTTTGTTAGGGGTCGATGCAATCACACTTGGCACTGCACATAGTAGCTGCTCACTACACTATTTTATCAGAATCGCCCCTGAGCGTCACAGGCTCAGGGACCAGCTTAGGGACCAGCCCAGGGACCCAGATGGCTGACCACAGCACTGTCCTAACTCCATCAGACCCTTCCCACTCTGGGCCCCGGAATGCTGCCTCCACTCATGTCTTTCTTTCCTTTCCACAGGTCCTGGAGGGCTCGTGGGCGTTGGCCCCGGGGCAGGTGAGTGCAGACCCCCAGACAAGATGCCCCTTGCTCGGACCAGCCCCCGAGCTCAACCCAGGGCTGGTATGGAGCACGGTCAGCGGACGGGGGTACAGGCCGGGTTCCATCCTGGGCACTGATGGGGTCTGATGCCGATACTGCCTGCCCCAAGCATCTGCCCAGGATGTGAGGAATCACAGCTGGGTACTTGGGGTCATTTATAACAGAGTGGCGAAGGCCCTATGTTATAAATATGGAGGAAGCCCCATGAACAGAGGGAGCCCAGAGGAGTCGCTTAACTCAGCAGGGGTTCAGGAAGGCATTCTAGGGGAGGTGGGTGGGGAAACCGAACCCCAAAAGATCCATGCAGTTTTCAGGAAGGCTGAGGCGAGAGGATCACTTGAGCCCAGGAGGTCGAGGCTTCGGGGAGCTGTGATCACGTCACTGCACTCCAGCCTGGGCGACAGAGCAAGACTCCATCTCTTTTGTTGCTGTTGCTGAGACAGCGTCCCGCTCTGTCGCCCAGGCTGGATGCAATCGTTTGATCTCAACTTGCTGCAACCTCCACCTCCCACGTTCAAGTGATTCTCCTGCCTCAGCCTCCCAAATAGCTGGAATTATAGGCACGTGCCACCACACTCAGCTAATTTTTGTATTTTTAATAGAGATGCGGTTTCACCATGTTGACCAGGCTGGTCTCAAACTCCTGGTCTCGAGTGATCTGCTCACCTCGGCCTCCCAAAGCGCTGGGAATACAGGCGTGAGCCACTGTGCCCGGCCACAAGACCCCATCTCTAAAGGCAAACAAACAAAAAAAGACCCATGCAGTTTTGTTAGAGCTGTCTGACACATTAACCTCTGCACAGAATCTAGTCCTGATGCTTGGGTTCAGTGGCCCATGCCTGTAATCCTAGCACTTTGGGAGGCCATGATGGGCAGATCGCTTGAGCCTGGGAGTTCAAGACCAGCCTGGGCAACATGGTGAAACCCTGTCACTACAAAAAATACAAAAAAAAAAAAAAAAAAAAAAAATTATCCAGGCACGATGTCATGCAACTGTAGTCCCAGCTACTCAGAAGGCTGAGATGGAAGGACGGCTTGAGCCTGGGAGGTCAAGGCTGCAGTGAGCCGAGGTCACACCACTGCACACCAGCCTCAGTGACAGAGTGAGACCCTGTCTCAAAAAAAAAAAAAAAAAAAAAAAACAGCCCAGTCCTGGTGAGCAGTGGTCACATCGATGTCCTGCAGGCGCTGACGTCTGGCCGAGAGCGGAAGAGCCACCAATGTGCTCCCTGAGAGGGGTACGGCCTGGTGGGGCCAGAGCATAGGAGTCTGGGGGGGCGGGTGGTAGCTCAGGACCTCATCCCATCCTCCCCTCCCGCAGGGCTCGGTACCTTCCCTGCAGGGACCTTTCCGGGGGCTCTGGTGCCTGGCGGAGCGGCTGCCGCTGCTGCAGCCTATAAAGCTGCCAAGGCTGGTGAGTGATGCTCCTTGGGACATGCCCCAAGCCCTCTGGCTTCAATGGGGCCTTCTGCTTTGCCAAGAGCCTTCCCTCAACCCAGGCCTGGGAGCCGGGTGGGTGGGATTGTCAGCTCCAATCTACTGGGGCTCAGGGGGGGCAGCTAGCTGTGCCCAGTCCACCAGTGAGTTGGCAATGGGGCCAGACCTCAATGCTGGGCCCCTCTGCCTCCCCACTGCTCCTCGTGCGATGCCTCACCTGTCCTGGCTCTGCAGGCGCTGGGCTTGGTGCTGTCCCGGGAGTTGGTGGCGTCCCGGGAGTTGGTGGCGTCCCGGGAGTTGGTGGCGTCCCAGGAGTTGGTGGCGTCCCGGGAGTCGGTGGCCTAGGAGTGTCTACAGGTACAGCGGCTATCCCCGAGCTCCCGGGGTCAAGGTGGCAGGCCTGGGTGGAGCCCATTCTCACGAGTCCCCGTCTGTACCAGGTGCAGTGGTTCCTCAGCCTGGAGCCGGAGTGAAGCCGGGGAAAGTGCCAGGTCAGTGCAGAATCCCTGGGGCTGCAGGACAGAGGGCAGGGAGGGGCAGAGGGCAGGGACGAGCAGAGCCCTCTCCGTGCCACCGCGCTTGGGGACGAAGGGCAGGGCATGGCTCCAGCTGGGCAGAGAAAATAGCCAAGCCCAAAGTGTGGTGCCTGCATCTGTGAAACAGAGAGGAGGGGCCTGGCCTACTTCCCGGGCCCTTCTCCCAGGATCTTAGGGTAGAGGGACAGGCTCTGTGGCAGGCTGTCTCGACAGGCAACAGAGGGGGAAACTGAGGCTCAAAGGGGCGAATCAGTGTGGAAGGGCTTGCAGGGAGTCCCGGCAGAGCTGGGGGAGCCCCGTGTCCTCTGCCTCCCCATCTGGTATACCCCTTGTGCCTCACCAAGCCCTTTAGGAAGTGACTTCAGGTTAAACAAAAGGCTGCTTGAGTCCACACAGCAGGGAGGGACATCTGGAAGCTGTTAGCCAGAGGTGGGCTGGCCCAGCCATGTAAATAGGCTCCAGGAGACAGAGATAAATCCACACACCGAAGAGTTTGCAGATGACTTCCGAAACTCGTGGGAGGAGGGTGGTGGCCACCCCACGTCTGTCCCTGGCTGTCCCTGTCGGGCACAGGGGCTGTTGGTTTGAGAGCCCCGGAGCTGCCTGGGTGGGAAGGGCCGGGAGGGGGTCCCTGGAGGCTGAGCTGCTGCTCCTGACTTTGCTTTCTTTTGGGCACAGGTGTGGGGCTGCCAGGTGTATACCCAGGTGGCGTGCTCCCAGGCACAGGTGAGGGCAAGGAGGGAAACAGGGACTCTATAGGAAGAAAGCAGCCTGGACATGGTGGCTCATACCTGTAATCCCACAACTTTGGGAGGCTGAGGTGGGAGGATGGCTTGAGGCCAGGAGTTTGAGACCAGCCTGGGCAACAGAGTAACACTCTGTCTCTACAAAAAAAAAAATCATCCAGGTGTGGTGGCCTCCTACTCGGGAGGCTGAGGTGGGAGGATTGCTCGAGCCCAGGAGGCCCAGGCCGCAGTGAGGTACAATGGCGTCACTGCGCTGCAGCCTGGGGGACAGAACAAGACCCTGTCTCAAAATAAGAAAAAGAAGGCTGGGCGAGGTGGCTCATGCCTAGAATCCCAGCACTTTGGGAGGTGGAGGCGGGCGGATCGCCTGAGGTCAAGAGTTCGAGACCAGCCTGACCAACAGGGAGAAACCCCGTCTCTACTAAAAACACAAAAATTGGCCGGGGGTGGTGGCGCAGGCCTGTAGTCCCAGCTACTCGGGAGGCTGAGGCAGGAGAATAGCTTGAACCCAGGAGGCGGAGGTTGCAGCGAGCTGAGATTACGCCACTGCACTCCAGCCTGGGCAACAAGAGCGAGAGTTCAGTCTCAAAAGAAAAAAAAGAAGAAAAAAAGAAAAGCAGCCTCCGTCAGCCTCCCTAGTACCCCCGCTGCCTTCCCAAAAAGCAAAGGCCACCAGAACACCTGGGGCTTGACCTGAGTCATTTCCCCAGACACCAACGCTGGGCTTAACAGACATAAGGTCCCCTGGCAGTCCCTCCCTCCCCCAAAGGTCAACAGGCTTCCTGTGCCCCACCCAAACCCTGATCCCAGGCCCAGACCATCATCACAGCCCTAGGCCGGCCCCCGAGGGCAGACCCCAGTGTGACCCGCTGCTTCCCAAAAGCTGTGAGTCACCAGGGGGCCACCCAGTGAGTCTGCCCTGCAGGAGACCCTGAAGAGCTGCCCCTCACCCTCCTTCCCCGCCAGGGCCTGACCACCCCACCCGGCATGTGATCGCCTGAATTCCCCCAAAAGCCCAGATTTAGGCTCTTCTGTGGGATTTGCTGACAGTGGCCCTTCCTCCCTCTCTCCCCCGCTACACCGAGAGCCAGGGCTACCCAGCCCCAGGGGAGACGGGAGAGGTGGGAGACGCTGGCATGGGTCCCAGCTGTAGCCGGATGTCTGCTTTGGGGGCATGGGTTGTGGGCGAGAGCCCCAGAGAGCACAGGCTTCCTTGGTCTACGGATGCGTGGCACCGCCCGGCAGCTTTGCCTTTTCTGCGGAGGGTGGTCGGGACGGCTTTTGTGATTAACTCCGCCTAGAGATGAGGCTGACTGAGGCACGAGCTCACATGGCTGGGAAATAGGATTAACATTCAGATCTTCTGACCTTGAGCCAGACAGGGGAGGAAAGTCAGCGCTAAACAGGTCCTTTCTCCACCTGCCCCCCCAGAGCCGTGCCTGTCACTGACGGTCGGTCCCGAGGGAGGTCAGCTGGGGGACCCGAGGAGGGGAGGGGTTTCTGGCAGGGCCTGCGAGACCTGCCTTTCTGTGCTCACCGCTTTGTTCCCCGGCAGGAGTTCGGTTCCCCGGTGTCGGGGTGCTCCCTGGTGTTCCTACTGGAACAGGAGTCAAGCCCAAGGCTCCAGGTATGCAGGTGTCTGGGCAGCGGGCTAACGGCGGGGCCTCTCCAGCCACCTTCTGGCCCAGGGTGTAAAATGTGGTGGGATCCTGGACTCAGGGCCCTCTGGGTGACACCTTTTATGTTCCTGAGAAACCCCAGAGTATGGCTGGGTACACTGGCTCACACCTGTAATCCTAGTGTTTTGGGAGGGTGAGCTGGGAGGATCGCTTGAGCCCAGGAGTTCAAGACCAGCCTGGGCAACATAGCAAGACCTTATCTCTACAAAAACACGATAAAAAAATTACCCAGACGTGGTCACACACACCTGTGGTCCCAACTACTCAGGAGGCTGAGACAGGAGGATCTCTTGAGCCCAGGAGATCAAGGTTGTAGTAAGCTATGATCTCACTACTGCACTCCAGCTTGGGCAACAGAGAGAGACCCTGTCCCCCCATAAAAAAAAAAAAAAGAAAGAAAAGGCCAGATGCAGTGGCTCGTGCCTGTAATCCCAGCACTTTGGGAGGCCAAGGTGGGCAGATCACCTGAGGTCAGAAGTTTGAGAGCAGCCTGACCCACATGATAAAACCTCATTATTACTAAAAATACCAAATTTAGCCAGGTGTGGTGGCACGTGCCTGTAGTCCCAGCTACTTGGGAGGCTGAGGCAGGAGAATCACGAACTAGGGAGGCAGAGGTTGCAGTGAGCTGAGATTGCACCACTGCATTCCAGCCTGGACAAAAGAGCAAGACTCTGTCTCAAAAAAAAAAAAAAAAAAAAAAAAAAAGGCTGGGCCCGGTGCTCACGCCTGTAATCTCAGCACTTTGTGAGGCCAAGGTGGGCAGATCACCTGACGTCAGCCTGACCAATATGAAGCACTGTCTCTACTAATAATACGAAAATTAGCTGGGCATGGTGGCATGTGCCTGTAATCCAGCTACTTGGGAGTCTGAGGCAGGAGAATCACTGGAACCTGGGAGGTGGAGGTTGCAGTGAGCTGAGATCACGCCACTGCACTCCAGCCTTGGCGACAAGAGAGAAACTCCATCTCTGAAAAAAGAAATCCCAGAATGCATGTGAGGGCAGCATGGGACGACTGGGCTGGGAAGAACTGGCCATTCCTTGGGCCTCCTGGCCCCTCAGTGCTGTCTGGCCCGGTGCCCACGGTGCCAGGGCTGTGGTGACAGCTCTTTTATCATTACAGTTGGAGCTGGAGCTTTTGCTGGAATCCCAGGTGAGGCAAGGATGGTGGGAGAAGCAGGGTGGCCAGCCAGGCAGGGGCTCTTGTCTTGGGAGGGGAGAGCCCTTGGGAGGTGGGCAGACCACCTGAGGTCAGCCTGACCAACAAGGTGAAGCCCTGTCTCTACTAATAATACAAAATCTTGGGCACCCAAGATCCCATCCAAGCCTGCCTGATTTCCCCCAGGCCTGCTTCCCCCGCCAGCACAGCAGCCCAACGAAGCCCAGAAAACCCGCCAGCCTGTGCCGAGGGCTGCAGGCCCAACCTGCAGGCCGGAGCTGGGGCCCATCCCTCCCTCCTTCCATCCATTCCTTGATGCATCCATCTATCCGTCCATCCACTCACACATTCCTTCATCTGCTCATCTACCCATCCATGCATCCATCCGTCCACTCATCCATTCATTCACTCATCCATCCGTCTCTGCCTCCATCCGTCCATTCATCCATCCATCCACCATCTATCCGTCTAGTCTTCCATGCATCCAGCTATCCCTTCATCTACCCCAGGAGGGAGAGAATCCTGCAGCTTCCTGGAGGAAGTAGCTTATCATTGGGAATTTCTCAGCTGACCCAAGATGGAGATTCAGGGAGGCCCTGGGGACAGGATGGTCTGAGCGGAAAGCGGAGCAGGTAGCGGAGGGTTTGGAAGGGGCTGCCGGGACCTGAACTGGCTCTCTTTATTCCCACAGGAGTTGGACCCTTTGCGGGACAGCAACCTGGAGTCCCACTGGGGTACCCCATCAAGGCCCCCAAGCTGCCCGGTAAGTCAGAGGGATGCTTCAAAAGGCACCACTCGGCCAGGCGCCGTGGCTCATGCCTGTAGTCCCGGCACTCTGGGAGGCCGAGGCGGGAGGATCACTTGAGGTCAGGAGTTCGAGACCAGCCTGGCCAACATGACAAAACCCTGTCCCTACTAAAAATACAAAAATTAGCCAGGCGTGGTGGCACAGGCCTGTAATCCCAGCTACTGGAGAGGCGAAGGTGGGAGAATCACTTGACTCCGGGAGGCAGAGGTTGCAGTGAGCCGAGATCATGCCACTGCGCCCCAGCTTGGGTAACAGAGTGAGACTCTTGTCTCCAAAAAAAAATAATAAAAACAAATAATGCACCACTCACTGAGCCTCCCTGCAGAGAAGTCAGCCTGGGTAGAGGCGTCTCTGGTGACAGGGGAGGGGTATTGAAGCCCCCGTATGGTCCCCAGCCAAGGAGAGCGTGGGAACTCATCTGCAGATACCGAACTCACACACACACGCTCATGCACAGAGACCCGTAGTCCCGATCGGAAGCCATTGTGCTGATGGAAGGGAACGCCGTTCACTGGAAAGGTCCCTCTGCCATCCACCCACCCGTGCTCCCGCCCCTACCTCCGCAATCAGCTTAGCCAGTGAGATGCTTTCCACTGAGGAGGGAAATACTCAGACCCCAGGACCGTGGTGGGACTTGAATTTGTAGGGGGATGGGTGTTCCATCGGGCCCAGCGGCAGAACTGGCCTCTCCCTCCTCCACCCAGCGCCTCTGCTCTCCTGGGAGCAGCTCAGGACCCTGGTCTGGGGGCAGGGGGTCTCAGGCCTCCGCACCTGTGGGGGCACATCTGTCCGCCCAGGTCAGTGGGAGCCCAGCAAGGCGTGGGGCGACTCCTGAGTCCGCCATGTCCTCTCCCCAGGTGGCTATGGACTTCCCTACAGTACTGGGAAACTGCCCTTTGGTGAGTGAGACCCTTCTAGACTGTGGACCATCCAGCCCTTTCCCGCTCCAGGGTTCTAGGGAAGGTGCTACGCTCCCAGCCCTGGCCAGGAGAGCACCTCGCTGAGGGAGGGTTAGGGGCTCGGAGTGGGAGTCTCAGAAGGAAAGGGCTTGGAATTTGGTCTCAGCGTGGGTCTCCATCCCTGCCCTCCCACCTATCAATAATGAGACCTCAGGTGAGCCGTGGTGCTTCTTTGAGCGTCTGTGTTCTCATCTGTAAAATGGGCGGAACAATTCCATGCTGGGGGTGACGGTGCAGACTCAAGACAGCCGGGCCCGCGAGAGCAGGGCAGGGAGAGGGGGAGGGCAGCAGTGGTGACGTCTGCACAGATGACACCGAGCCTCTCTGTTCTGCAGGCTATGGGCCTGGCGGGGTGGCTGGTGCAGCGGGCAAGGCTGGATACCCAACAGGGACAGGTAACGAAAGCCTCTCCTCACTTCCCGCTGAGGGAGCCCTGATCTTGTGGGCTCCAGAGCCCTGGGGTGGGCAAGGTTCTAAAGCAGGCCAGCCCACCCTGCATCCAGACCCTGGTCCGAACCTGGAACAGGATCCTGGGGGAGGGGTGGGGCAGCTCTGTCGCCTCTGCCTGCTGGGAGCCCCACTCACACCCCCGTGTCAGTGGAGCGGTTCTCTCCAGGCTGGGAACGAGCGGGCTCTGGAGACACAGGAGCACCGTTTCAGGGTCTCTCCCCTCTGCCCCCCTCCTCCAGGTGTTGGCCCTCAGGCAGCAGCAGCGGCAGCAGCTAAGGCAGCAAAGTTTGGTGAGTGCCCCTGGGGTCCCCGCCTGGTGGCCTCCAGCCCCCCAGCCTCTCCATTCCCATTACTGTTGAGAGCCTGCTTCACAGACGAATGACCAAAGTGCCCTACTTCCCCCATTTACTCAAGATTTTCAACATCACCCATCTATATATTCCTCCTTCCATCCATTCTTTCATGCATCCATTCATCCTTCCATCCATCTGTTGCTTTCTCCATCCCTCCCTCCCCCATCTATTCCTCTATGTATCCATCTATACATCCACCTACTCATCCAGACATCCTTTCATCCATCCATCCCTCCCTCCTTCCATTCCCATTCTCCCATGCATCCATCTATCCATCCATCCACTCATCCATTCATTCATCTAACCATCCATGCATCCATCCATCTACTCATCCATCCACTTATTCATCCATCCATCTTTCCCTCCATCCATCTACTCATCCATTCATCCCTCCCTCCCTCCATTCATTCCGCCATGCATCTATCATCCATCCATTCATCCATCCATTCATCTACTCATCTACCCATCCATGCATCCATCCATCCACTCATCCATCCATCCATCCATTTCTCCATGGTCCATCCATCCTCCATCCATCCATTCATTCCTCCATCCAACCATCCATCCATCCGTTCCTCCATTCTTCCATCTATCCATCCTCCCATCCATCCATTTCTCCATGATCCATCCATCCTTCCATCCATCCATTCATTCCTTCATCCAACCATCCATCCATCCGTTCCTCCTCGCATCCATGCACCCATCCATCCCTCCCTCCGTCCATTCTTCTACCCATCCATCCATTCATCCATCCATTCCTCCATTCTTCCATCTCCCATCCACCCATCCATCCATTTCCCCGTGATCCATCCATCCTCCAGCCATCCGTTCATTCCTCCATCCAGCCAGCCATCTATCCATCCATTCCTCCATGCATTCATGCACCCATCCATCCATTCCGCCATGCATCCATTCATTCATAACGGGAGGCATTCTTTCTACCTTGGGAAAGTTAGAAAGGCTTCCCAGAGAAAGTGACATTTGATTCAGGCCTTAAAAATAAAGATGGAGCTTACCATGTGGTTAGAACAGGAAAGAGGAGGCCAAGCAGAGGGAATGGGTACCATGGTGGTTGCAAAGATCATTTTAGGTGGTGCATATAGGAGCATTTAAGACGTTTAATAGTTATGTATTAATTTAATGTGTGCTATGAAAATGTTAACTCACTGCTCAAGCCAGTGAGCTCTTGGATAGCATGGCTGCAGATGGAATGTCGTATTCCTGTACCTATGCAGTGGGTGGAGTGGGCATCTGTCCCCCACCCCAGCTAGTCCCCAGCTCAGGGTCAGATCACTAGGGTTGAAGTCCTCCTGCATCCTCAGCCCCAGGGAAGCCCTTTCCTTCTCTCCCCACCCATCCAAGGAGCAAGAATGTGGGGAGAAGCCTGGAGCTTCCCCCTCAGAGGCCCCACAGGCCCCCCTCCCAGCACCCAAGGCTCCTTGGCCCCAGCGGCTGGTGGGGCTGGCTGGAATGTGGGAGCGGGAGAGCGGGGCTGCAAGGGGCTGCCAGAGCCAAGCGGCCAGGCGCTTGGATTACAAACTTGGCTTCGTCTTCGGAACACAGGGAGAGGAAGTCTTGAACATTCCTGCAGGGGCCCCTCTGGCCCGGGGAGTGGCCACTTGTGGTTTCTCAGTATGTGGCAGTGATTAGAATGGGATCTGTCTGAAAACATACAAGTCCCTTAATGAGCGTGTTGAAACAGACACTTTGGGGGTGAGTCAAGGAACAGCGGAGTGGGGTGGGGAACCTCCTCAAACAGGTCCATCTGGAGACCCCCGGGCCCCATTCCTGGATGAGATCACGCTGGTGAACATGCTGGCGTGTAAGTGGCCATCCTGCCTGTCCTCAGGAGGGTCCTCGGGAAACGACATTGCACTGCCCCATCTCAACAGGTGCTGGAGCCGGAGTCCTCCCTGGCATTGGAGTTCCTGGGGCAGCTGGTGCAATTCCTGGGATTGGAGGCATCGCAGGTAACGTCTGACCCCACACGGGGTGGGTGTGTCCTTGAGATGGCCACAGGGCAAGGACCTCACCCTTTCTGGCTGTCTCTTCAGGCGCCGCGACCCCAGCTGCAGCCGCAGCTGCTGCAGCTGCTGCCGCCAAAGCAGCCAAGTACGGTGAGTGCCTCCGGGGGCGGCAAGCCCAGGGCTCGGGCCCCTGCGTGGGCCTTGGGGACCCTAATCCTAAAACCAGGGGGACTTGGCGTTTGTCCCTCCCCAAATATACACTGTTCATGCCTCCTCACCTTCACTCCTTCTGGTCACTCTACCTGAGATGCCATCTCTATTGTTTTGCCCTGATTAACTCAGCAGAGGGGGGTACCCAGCAGAACACCTGGCTGCTCCCAGTCCATCCCCTCCAGGGCCGGCCCACAGGCATCTGCTGCATCAACTAAGTGGGTGCCCAGTGGCGAGAATTCTGATTGCGCCTTAGAAATAGGTCACATTCTAGCTAGGGACGGTGGCTCATGCCTGTAATCCCAACAATTTGGGAGGCTGAGGAGGATCGCTCGAAACCAGGAGTTAGAGACCAGCCTGAGCAACACACTGAGACCCCCATCTTTCCAGAAATTATTTAAAAATTAGCTAGCCATAGTGGCACATGCCCGTGGTCTCAGCTACCTGCGAGGCTGAGGTGGGAGGATCGCTTGAGCCCAGTAGTTCAAGGCTGCAGTGAGCTATGATCATGCCACTGCACTCCAGCCTGGGTGAGTGAGAATTTGGTCCAAAAAAAAAGGAAAGAGAGACAGAAAGAGAGAGAGGAAGGAAGGAAGGGAGGAAAGGAGGGAGGGAGGGATGGAGGGAGGGAGGGAGAGAGTGGGGGAGGAGAGTGGAGTGGAGGGAGGAAGGAAGACAGGAAGGAAGGAAGGGAGAAAGGGAGGGAAAGAGAAAGAGAGAGAGAGAGAGAGAGAGAGAGAAAGGAAGGAAGAAAGAAAGAAAGAAAAGGAAGAAAGAAAGAAAGAGAAATCGATCACGTTGCTTCCAGCCCACAGATCCAAACCCTTGGAGCTCTCTTCAGGGACCCTCAATCTCTCCGCATCTCTCTGATGAGTTGGATCTATGCAGAGGAAATGTCCACCCCCTGTAATCCTGCAATCAGGACCAACTGTCACTTCCATACTCCACTAACCACCCTTGGAGCCCCTGCGAGGGACCCATAGGTCAGGAGGGCAATGCCTTTTCTTTCACAGGAGCGCCTACAGCCTTTGGCCCAGGAGTAGTTGGCGTCCCAGGAGCTGGGGTTCCAGGTGTCCCAGGTGCTGGGATCCCAGGTGCTGGGGTTCCAGGAGTTGGTGAGCTGGGCTGTGTGTGTGTGTGTGTGTGTGTGTGTGTAAAAGAGAAATACTGACTATTGCCAACATTTTACATTTATCCCTAACACCTCAACAATGTACCTATACCCTTGACCGTGCCTGTCCCCTCGTCTTCTCTTCCTGAAGCCATGACAATCTCCTAATCAGCTCCTAACCTGTGTCATCTTTTCCAATTAACCTTCTGGCTATCAGTGTTCACCTGGGGGCAGGAACCATGTCTTTTTCATCTCCATGTTTCTAGCCCTTAGCTAAGTAGGTGCTCAGTTTATGGTGGCTAGAAGGGTAGGTGCGTGGGTGAATGGGTGAATTGGTGGGTGGATGAATGGGTGGGTGAGTGGGTGGGTGGATGAATGGGTGGGTGGGTGGGTGCATGGATGAGTAGATGGGTGAATGGATGTACGCATGGATGGATGGATGGATGGATGGAGTAGATGGATGAATGGGTGGATGGATAGGTAGGTGGGTAGATGTGTGGGTAGATGGATGGGTGATGGATGAGTGGATGGATGGATGGGTGGATGGATTGGGGGCATGGATGGATGGATGGGAGAATGGATGGATGAATGCATAAATGGGTAGATAGATGGGGGAATGGATAGATGGAAAGCTGGATGAAAGAATGGGTGGATGAATGGATGAAGGAACACATGATTTTATGAGCAGATGAATATATGGATGGTAGAAGGGTGGGCAGGTAAATATAAAATGGGTTGGCTAAATGGTTACATGAATGGCTAGATAGGCAGATGGGATAAGTTGGTAGATAGATGAGTGCATGAGTGGACAGAGAGGTAGGTGGTTGGGTGGTGGATTGAGATCCAAGGATAGACAGACAAATGGACAGGTACAGAGGTGGGTCGTTGGGTACATGGATGATGCGGGTGGCTGGGTAGACAGATGGGCAGGTGGCTGGACATCAGTGCATAAATGGATGTGTAGCCGACTCTACGTTGGCGTGAAAGAAGATGGCCCAACACACAGATGGGTGGACAGAGGGAGACAAACTGAGCAGCCCTCCTCCCACCTCTCCTGAGCATTCGCGTCCCTCTCAGTCTCTCCAGGAGCCGTGTCACCAGCTGCAGCTGCGAAGGCAGCCAAATACGGTGAGTGCCGTGCTAACAGCTCTGCCCCACCCTGTCCTGGCCTTTACTTGCCAGAACTAAAGGACTCTCCTCTACTTGCCCAGAGAAGGGGAGTGACTTGCCCAGGGTCGCCCAGCAAGTCACTGGCAGGTCTCAGGACAACGTCTCCCTCATTTGTCTCCCACCACAGGGCCATGGGGCTGAGTGGCGGGGAAGTCCCAGGATGGCATTCCCAGTGGGGGACAGTGACCCTGACCCTCCCTGCTCTGGCCAAGAGCCCCTCAGAGGAGCCCAAAACTGCCTGGGGATGTGGATTCTGCCAGTAGTCTCTCTGCGTCCAACAAAGGGGGTCTTCCCCAAGTGCTCAGAGAGGAGAGGGGCTGGAGAACGACTGAAGGGTGTCAGTAAAGGCTTCACGGTGGGGCTGGGCTCGGCTCTCACCTGTAATCCCAGCATTTTTGGAGGCCAAGGTAGGAGGATCATTTGAGGCCAGGAATTAGAGAGCAGTGCGGGCAAAATAGCAAGACCCTGTCTCTACATAAAATGTAAAAATTAGGCCAGGTGCAGTGGCTCACACCTATAATCCCAACACTTGGGGAGGCCGAGACGGGTGGATCACGAGGTCGAGAGATCGAGACCATCCTGGTCAACATGGTGAAACCCCGTCTCTACTAAAAATACAAAAAATTAGCTGGGCATGGTGGCGCGTGCCTGTCATCCCAGCTACTCAGGAGGCTGAGGCAGGAGAATTGCCTGAGCCCAGGAGGCGGAGGTTGCGGTGAGCCGAGATCCCGCCATTGCACTCCAGCCTGGGTAACAAGAGCGAAACTCCGTCTCAAAAAAAAAAAAAAAAAAAAAAAAAAAAGTAAAAGGTGGCTGGGCATAGTGGCGTGTGCCTGTAGCTGTTCCAGCTACTTGGGAGGTTGAGGCAGGAGGACTGCTCGAGCCTAGGAGTCTGAGACCAGCCTGAGCAACATAGCAAGACCCCATCTATACAAAAAATTAAAAATAAAAAAATTTAATTTTTTTTCTTTTTTTTTTTTTTGAGACAAAGTTTTACTCTGTTGCCCAGGCTGGAGTGCCGTGGCATGATCTTGGCTCACTGCAATCTCTGCCTCCCAGGTTCAAGCAATTCTCCTGCATCAGCCTCCGAAGAAGCTAGGCTCACAGACGTCCACCACCATGCTTGGCTAATTTTTGTATTTTTAGTAGAGACAGGGTTTTGCCATGTTGGCCAGGCTGGTCTCGAACTCCTGGCCTCAGGTGATCCACCTGTCCTGGACTCCCAAAGTGCTGGGATTACGGGCATGAGCCACCCCACCCAGCCAAAAAAAAAATTTTTTTTTTTTTTTTGTATGGAGTCTCACTCTGTCACACAGGCTGGAGTACAGTGGCGCAATCTCAGCTCACTGCAACCTCCACCTTCCGGATTCAAGTGATTCTCCTGCCTCAGCCTCCTGAGTAGCTGGGATTACAGGGATGCACCACCACATCCGGCTAATTTTTGTTTTTTTAGTAGAGACCCAGTTTCTCCATATTGGCCTAGCTGGTCTCGAACTCCTGACCTCAGGTGATCTGCCTGCCTCAGCCTCCCAAAGTGCTAAAATTATAGGTGTGAGCCACTGCATCCCACCCAAATTTTTTTTTTAGAGGCTTCATGGTGGAGGCTGCTGGGGACCCAGGCAGCCCAGTTTTCTGTCTTTTATGGACAAGGCTTGGGGGAAACTTGGATCCTCTTTGCCAGGAAATCAGCACGCCTCGGAGCCCGCCCTGCCTCTCTCACTGAGCTGCTTTTCCAATTGATTCTCTTCCCTCTGCAGGGGCCGGAGTCGGAGTTGGAGGCATTCCTACTTTTGGGGTTGGACCTGGGGCCTTTCCCGGCTATGGTGTCCCTGGAGTCGGAGCCGTCCCGGGAGCTGCCATTTCCCGTGAGCCTTAGTCACATCTGGGGACATCGTTGAGAAGGGCTGGGGGCTTCTCTTCTGCTGGCTGTGCACGGTCAGTGAAGAGTGTAGATCAGGCTTGAGCGTGCTCAGGGAGGGGCTGGGGGAGAGGATAGGGAGGCCGTCCGTGCCTTGCAGGGCAGAAGAGCTTTAAGCACGGCGCGGAGGAGACCCAGGCAAGGCTTCTGAGGGTCTCCATCTTTCTCGTTTCCCTGCAGCTGAAGCCCAGGCAGCGGCTGCCGCCAAAGCTGCCAAGTATGGTAAGTGCCCCTACCCTGCCCATCCCTAAGCCCTGTTCTCCCACGGGGCGCAGGGTCCAACCTCAGCAAACCGGCTCCCAGGCCTCCAGGACCGGAATGGCCTGGCCCCAGGTCATGAGGCCCCACCTTCCAAAGCCCCACATCCCCACTCTACTGTCCTTTTCAGATGCCCGATGTTAGGACGGTTGGTGACCTGCTCACCACCCCACCCCCACCCCCAGAATTCAAGGTGTCCTGGCCCGGTGTGCTGGCTCACACCTGTAATCCCAGCACTTTGGGAGGCCGAGGCAGATGGATCCCTTGAGGTCAGGAGTTCAAGACCAGCCTGGCCAACATGGTGAAACCCCGTCTCTACTAAAATTACAAAAATTAGCCGGGCATGGTGGTGCACACCTGTAATCCCAGCTACTCGGGAGGCTGAGGCAGGAGAATCGCTTGAACCTGGGAGGCGGAGGTTGCAGTGTGCCGAGATCACGTCACTGCACTCCAGCCTGGGCGACAGGGCAAGACTCCGTCTCAAAAAATTAAAATAAAATAAAATATAAAAAGAATTGAAGGCCGGGCTCAAGCCTGTAATCCCAGCACTTTGGGAGGCTGAGGCAGGTAGACCACAAGGTCAAGAGATCGAGACCATCCTGGTCAACATGGTGAAACCCCGTCTCTACTAAAAATACAAAAAATTAGCTGGGCGTGGTGGCGCGTGCCTGTAATCCCAGCCACTCAGGAGGCTGAGGCAGGAGAATTGCCTGAACCCAGGAGGTGGAGGTTGCGGTGAGCCGAGATCGCGCCACTGCACTCCAGCCTGGGTAACAAGAGCGAAACTCCGTCTCAAAAAAAAAAAAAAAAAAGAATTGAAGGTGCCAGGAAGCCATTCTCTTTTCCCCGTATTCTCCCACTCACCCTTGCTCCCCCAAAAAGTGAGCACTGGGAGGGGCGAGGCTGAAAGTTCTCCACTCACGCAGGTGCTGGGGGCGCAGGAGTGCTGGGTGGGCTGGTGCCAGGTGCCGGAGTCGCCGTCCCAGGTGTGCCGGGAGTGGGAGGAGTGCCAGGTGAGCGGTGTGTCCAGCCCAGAGACGGGTTTGGTTTGTCTCGTGGAAGGGTCCCTGGAGTTGATCAAGATCGACTGCACCATTTTACAAACGGGAAGACCTACCTAGAGGTGGGAAGCAGGGAGGGGTGTTCGGACCGCTCCCTCACCCCTTCTCTTCCCGCCCCCAGGAGTCGGGACCCCAGCAGCTGCCGCCGCTAAAGCAGCCGCCAAAGCTGCCCAGTTTGGTGAGTCCCCTCACCCCCGCCGTCGCTCACAGATCACTGCTCTCTCAGGTGCCCTGCTCCGGGGTCTCACTGCCCAGCTCCCTGCTCCTTTCCACCCCGCCCCCCCAGGCTGTCACATTCTGGGGTGGGCCCTCCTTCGGGCTTTTGGCCCAACAACAGCCTCTAGGAGTAGTGGTAACGTTTCTGATGAGGGAAGCAGTGTAAGCCTCCCTGTTCCCAAAGTCCCGGAGCCTCTCGGTCTAGTGGGGACCTGACCCCTCCTGACCTCACGTGAGCTCCAGCCGCCTTGAGGGACTCCAGTTCTCCTCCTCTCCCTCCTCCTCCTCCTCCTCCCCCTCCTCCTCCTCCCCCTCCTCCCCCTCCTCCCCCTCCTCCCCCTCCTCCCCCTCCTCCCCCTCCTCCCCTCCTCCTCCTCCTCCTCCTCCTCCCCCTCCTCCCCCTCCTCCTCCTCCTCCCCCTCCCCCTCCTCCCCCTCCTCCTCCTCCTCCCCCTCCTCCTCCTCCTCCCCCTCCTCCTCCTCCTCCCCCTCCTCCTCCTCCTCCTCCCCCTCCTCCTCCTCCCCCTCCTCCTCCCCCTCCTCCTCCCCCTCCTCCTCCTCCCCCTCCTCCTCCTCCTTCCTTCTTCCTCCTCCCCCTTTTTCTTATTTTTCTTCCTCCTCCCCCTCCCTCCTCCTCTTCTTTTTCTTCCATTTTCTTTCTCCTTTCTCCTCCTCCTCCTCCTTCTCCTTCTTCTTGAGACAGGGTATGGCTCTGTCACCCAGGCTGGGGTACAGTGGCACAATCGTCTAGCTCACTGCATCCTCGACCTCCCAGGCTCAAGCAATCTGCCTGCCTCAGCCTCCCAAGTAGCTGGGACCACAGGTGCACACCACCATGCCTAGCTAATTTTTTGATTGTTTTGTAGAGACAGGAGTCTCACTATGTGGCCCAGGCTGGTCTCAAACTCCTGGGTTCAAGCGATCCTCCAGCCTCTGCCTCCCACAGTGCTGGGATTCCAGGCATAAGCCCCTGCGCCCGGCCTGCAGTACTTCTGGTTCGAGATCTCTTGCTATATCTGAGGGCCACCCTGGCAGCCCCAGGTGCCTACACCTTTCTCAACATGACAAATTATGGCAGCACCAATTGTAGAGCCCGGCTGTGTGTCAGGCCCTGGGCGTGGAGTCTGCAGGCCTTGGTGTTAGGGACCTGTGAGCTGAAAGGTTCAGATCAGAGTCTCTAAGGCTGAATAGTCCAGAGAGCATTTCGACTGCAGGTCTGCAGAGCCCGAAATGCTCACACACAGCAATCTGTATTTATTTGAGACAGGGTCTCACTTCATTGCCCAGGCTATGATGCCATCAGAGCTCACTGCAGGCCTCGGACTCCTGGCTTAAGCAATGCCTCCCTCTTAGCTGAGGCTACAGGCACATGCCACCATGCCCAGTTTTAAAAAAAAAAAATTGCCGGGCGCGGTGGCTCAAGCCTGTAATCCCAGCACTTTGGGAGGCCGAGGTGGGTGGATCACGAGGTCGAGAGATCGAGACCAACCTGGTCAACATGGTGAAACCCCGTCTCTACTAAAAATACAAAAACTAGCTGGGCATGGTGGCGGGTGCCTATAATCCCAGCTACTCAGGAGGCTGAGGCAGGAGAATTGCCTGAACCCAGGAGGTGGAGGTTGCGGTGAGCCGAGATCGCGCCATTGCACTCCAGCCTGGGTAACAAGAGCGAAACTCCGTCTCAAAAAAAAAAAAAAAAAAAAAAAAAAAAAAATTGTAGGTGATCCTTCCACGTTGGCCTCTCAAAGTGCTGGGATGGTAGGCATGAGCCACCACACCAGGCATACAGTCTTACACAGTTGGTTTCATTTTTCCCATTTTACAGGTGTGCAGACTCAGGTTCCTGGAGCTTAAGTAACTTGCCTGCAGTTGCACAGCTTACTGATGCCCAAGCTGAGATTTGAACACAAAGGCTTTCTGTCTTACAAACCCCCTTATATCATGTAACTCTGCCTCTATCACCCTCAAATCTCCAAGGAGTCCTTGTCACTGAAAAGATTAAGAACTCCTGGCCAGGTGCAGTGGCTCACGCCTCTAATCCCAGCAGTTTGGGAGGCCAAGGCAGGTGGATCACCCAAGGTTAGGAGTTCAAGACCAGCACGACCAACATGGCAAAACCCTGTCTCTACTAAAAATACAAGAAAATTAGCCAGGTGTGATAGTGCATACCTGTAGTCCCAGCTATTCGGGAGGCTGAGGCAGGAGAATCACTTGAACCCGGGAGATGGTGGTTGCAGTGAGCTGAGATTGTGCCACTGCACTCCAGCCTGGGCGACAGTGAGATCCTGTCTCAAAAAAAAAAAAAAAAAAAGGAACTCCTGAACCTGCCGCAGGCTTCATCTTAGGGGTGAGGAAGCTGAGGCCCAGCAAGGGAAAGCAACCGATCAGGGCCACACAGCAAGTCTCTGCCAGGCCGAGGCTCCAGCTCTTTTCATCAGCTCTGTTCTCTTGCATCAGGCTCTTCTCCATCTTACAGGCTTAGTTCCGGGTGCTGGTGTGGCTCCTGGTGTGGCTCCCGGAGTGGGCGTGGCTCCCGGAGTGGGCGTGGCTCCCGGAGTGGGCGTGGCTCCGGGTGTGGGCGTGGCTCCGGGTGTGGGCGTGGTTCCAGGTGTGGGCGTGGCTCCCGGCATTGGCATCGGCCCCGGTGGAGTTATAGGTGAGCTGCATGAGTCCATGACCCTGAGGGGCCCCTGAAGCCTCCGTGGGCCCCATCTCCATCTCTAATCCCCTCTCTCTCCCTCCAGGCGCAGGAGCCCCAGCTGCAGCAAAATCCGCTGCCAAGGCAGCTGCCAAAGCCCAGCTCCGTGAGTGCCTCGCCCACCTTTCTCTCCTCTCTCCAAAGAGCCCAGGGCTGGTTAGGGGCAAGGGCCAGGGAGGAGGCCTCTGCTTGGATCTGGGCGCCTTCCTCTGGGACTGGGCTCAGCCCCCTGGACAGGACCCCTCCTTGGGGCATGCTCCCTGCCTGCTGCCACCACCACTGCCCTCTGTCCTTGGGAACCCAGCTCCCAAGCCTGAATGGGAGCCAGGGCAGGGCCCTGCAGCCTCCTTAGATCCCTAGGGCAGTGGGCAGAGGAGTCAGAAGTGCAGATTTGGCTTGAGGAGGACCTGGGTTCAAGTCCTGGGCTCCACACTAGCTAAGGGACCTCTGAGTGACTGTGTCCTTGCGTGTTAAGTGTGGGTACAGACAGCACCTTCCACAGAAGGCTTTTAGGAGAATTAAACAACATCAACCAAGAGAGAAGAACAGGAGATGAGGCTGGAAAGGGAAGTGGCACCCACAGGGTGTGGTCCCGAAGGCCAGCCAGCAGGACTAGAGGGTCAGTGGGAGTTTTACAGAATCCAATCCCAGGCTGGGCATGTGGCTCACACCTATAATTCCAGCACTTTGGGAGGCTGAGGTGGGCGGATCACCTGAGAGCAGCAGTCGGGAGTTCGAGAGCAGCCCCACCGACATGGAGAAACCCTGTCTCTACTAAAAATACAAAATTAGCTGGGGGTGGTAACCTACTCGGGAGCCTGAGGCACGAGAATCACTTAAACCCAGGAGGTAGAGGTTGCAGTGAGCCAAGATCGCGCCATTGCAGTCCAGCCTGGGCAACAAGAGCGAAACTCTATCTCAAAAATAATAATAACAAAATTAGCCAGGCATGGTGGCACACACCCGTAGTGTGTGTCAGCTACTCGGGAGGCTGAGGGAGGATTGCTTGAGCCTGGGAGTTTGAGGCTGCAGTGAGTCACGATTGTGCCACTGCACTCCAGCCTGGGCAGCAGAGCAAGAGCCTGTCTCAAAAGAGAGAGAGAGAGAGAGAGAGAGAGAGAGAGAGAGAGAGAGAGAGAAAAGAAAAACCAGCCAGCGGCTGCATAGAGAATGGATTAAGCAGGCCAAGTCTGAAGAGAGGGCCAGGGAGGAGGCCGCTGCTTGGATCTGGGTGAATCCCTTCCTTTGAGACTGGGCTCAGCTCCCTGGACAGGACACCCCCCTAGGGACGCGCTCCCTACCTGCTGTCACCACCACTGCCCTCTGTCTGCAGGAGCTGCAGCTGGGCTTGGTGCCGGCGTCCCTGGATTTGGAGTTGGTGCTGGTGTGCCCGGACTCGGAGTTGGTGCTGGTGTGCCTGGCTTCGGGGCAGGTGAGGGTGAGGGGGCGTCTAGGGACTAGGCAGAGCCTGTCCCCTGAGCTCAGGGAAGGCAATCCCTCGTCCTCCCAGCACCTCCCCAGCACCCCCTCACCACCCCAGGGTGCATAGTAAATTCCTCGTTAGATTCTCCTAAGCATCTGGGGGTAACAGAAGGCAGGCGGAGGGAAGAGCAGGCAAAGGGATCCCGGGCTGCCACATTGCAGAGTATCTGCCTCCTCAGTAGAGGGGTGATGGGGTTCCAGACTGAGAAACAGCCCACCCTCCACCCAGAGAAGGAGCAGGTAGATCAGCCTGGCTCCCCTTCAGCAGTGGTCTGTGGCCAGGGGGCCACTAGGAACTCCAGTTCTTCACCAGGTGGTTACTGAGCACCGCTCTGTGCCCTGCCTCAGGCAGGCCATGCTGGGCCTGGGGAGAGAAGGAGGGGGCAGATGGAAGGTGGAGGCACTGTCCTGCCCTAGAGCTCTGTGCCTGCACAGCTTCAGGGTTTTGAGAAAGCAATGAAGGCCAAGGAAATCAGAGAGGGCTCCCTAGAGGAAGCGGCAGAACTCCCAGGCACAGAGCTCGGCTACTGACCACCCCCCTACTTTTTTTTTCTTCCCAGTACCTGGATCCCTGGCTGCTGCTAAAGCAGCCAAATATGGTGAGTGCACCCCACAACCCCTTGTGGTTCCCTTGCCACCCTGCCATCTCTAACAGCACAGGACAGGGGTTGACGAGATAGAAAAAGGCAGTTTCAGGCCGGGCACAGTGGCTGCCATCCCAGCACTTTGGGAGGCCGAGGCAGGGAGATCACTTGAGGCCAAGAGTTCGAGACCGGCCTGGCCAACATGGTGAAAACCTGTCTCTGCCAAAAATACAAAAATCAGCCAGGCGTGGTGGCGGGCGCCTGCAATCCTAGTGACTTGGGAGGCTGACGCAGGAGAATCGCTTGGACCCAAGAGATGGAGGCTGCAGTGAGCCGAGATCACTGTCATTGCACTCCAGCCTGGATGACAGAGCGAGAGAAAAGAGAGAAAAAGAGAGAGAGAGGAAGGAAGGAAGGGTGGGAGGGAGGGAGGGAGCGAAAGAGAGAGGGGGGAGGGAGGGAGGGAAGAAAGGAAGGAGAGAGAGAAAAGAAAAAGGTGGCTTCTAGGACACATTTATGACAGTTTAAAAATCCGGCCCCTGCCCACTAAATGTCTGTGGTGCCTTCAACCCCTGTGACCACCAAAACCACCCCCGAAATCCCAGTTGCTCCCCAGGAGGCGATTCCACCGGCCCTAAGGCCCCTCAGACCCGGACAGTTTCGTGATCACCGGGGCCAGGGAGGGGCCGGGCCCGCTGTGGGTATGAGGAGGCCGGGCAGTCTCTGCCTCCACCCCAGCTCTCTGGCCCTAGCAGAGGAGCTGCTGTTCCTCATCTGGGCACCCCCGGCCCCCGCCCGCCTTCCCATCCTGCCAGCAAGACTGCTGCTGCCATAAGCCAGCCCAGAGGACGTGGCAGTCCCACAGCCTCTGCACTTGGCACCCTGGCAGCCCCGCCTGGCCAGACCCACGCTGTCTGTGGCCTCTGCATTCCTGGCCTCTTGTGAGCAGAGTTGGGGGGAGGCAGGGGACTCCACCAGCGATCCACTAACCGGCCGGGCAGGTCCACTTGGGACCAGTTTCCACCTTGGAAAATCCCAGCTTCCTCAGCCCGGACCCCCAGCGGCCCTGGCCTCCTCCCCTCTTCACTGCTGACTGCTTGGCCTGCCTGAGTCAACAGACATTGCCAGGGAAACAGAGGGGTGTCATGTGGTGAGCAGAGCCGCTTCCCAGCCTGGAAGCCCTGAGCACATTGCTTAACCTCTGCTCTGCCTCAGCGTTCTCATCTGTAAAATGGGAATGACAAGAGCGCCTGCCTTTCCTGCTGCAGTGCATAAAAAATGGGCTGCTGGGGCCGGGCGTGATGGCTCAAGCCTGTAATCCCAGCACTTTGGGAGGCCGAGGCGGGTGAATCACGAGGTCAAGAGTTCAAGACCATCCTGGTCAACATGGTGAAACCCCGTCTCTACTAAAAATACAAAAAATTAGCTGGGCGTGGTGGCGCGTGCCTGTAATCCCAGCTACTCGGGAGGCTGAGGCAGGAGAATTGCCTGAACCCAGGAGGCGGAGGTTGCGGTGAGCCGAGATCGCGCCATTGCACTCCAGCCTGGGCAACAAGAGCAAAACTCCGCCACCAAAAAAAAAAAAAAAGGGCTGCTGAGTGTGAAGCACTCAGAACCTTAAGTGCCTACTGTAGATACTATCACTGCTTTTTTTTTTTTTTTTTTTTTTTTGGTGGAGTCTCGCTCTCTGTCACCCAGGCTGGAGTGTAGTGCTTCGATCTTGGCTCACTGCAGCCTCCACCTCCTGGGTTCATGCGATTCTCCAGCCTCGGCCTTCAAGCTGGGATTACAGGCCCCTACTACCCTGCCCAGCTAATTTTTGTATTTTTTAGTAGAGACGGGGTTTCACTATGTTGATCAGCCTGGTCTCGAACTCCTGACCTCAGGTGATCCACTGGCCTAGGCTTTTCAAAGTGCTGGGATTACAGGCATGAGCCACCACACTCGGCCTTCAAAAGAACTTTTAAGTCCAGGCACAGTCCTTTGGGAGGCTAAGGCGGGAGGATCGAGTGAGCGCAGGAGTGGGAGGCTTGCAGTGAGCTATGAGCGCCACTGCCCTCCCGCCTGGGCAGCAGAGCAAGACCCCATCCCAAAATGAAACAAAAACAAGGACTGGACTTCCTGTCCAGGGCTCCTCCACTGTGTCACATGCCCTGCCACCTGTCTGCTTGCCCTGAGTACCTGGGGCAGGGACACCCCATCCTTTAGAAATGGGGGACTCATCTTTCTTCCTTCCCCGCAGGAGCAGGAGGGGTCGTCCCAGGCGGTGTGGTGGGTGAGTTGAAATGCCAGGAGGGGCTGGGTGGGGAGCGAGGTTAACCGGGACAGAGTCCCTCCCTGAACTCGGTCTGTGTCCCCAGGAGCCGGACCCGCCGCCGCTGCGGCTGCAGCCAAAGCCGCTGCCAAAGCTGCCCAGTTTGGTGAGCGCTGGGTGGGGGTGGAGCTGCCCCCGGCCCCCCCCCCAAGGTCCCCAGGGTGTGGGAGGAGCTTCCGACCAGGCACTGTAGACTCAGACTCCCTGCCCCAGGCACCTCCTGGCCCCACTGTGCCACAGAAGGCCGGGAGAGCTCAGGCTCCACCTGGGTCCCCCGAGGACACCTGCACCCTCCGCAGGCTGAGCTTGAGTCCCCACTTTCTGACCAGCCGAGTCTAATGCTCAGCTCTCTCCGCAGGCCTGCCGGGAGCTGCTGGGCTTGGTGTTGGAGGACTCGGAGTTGGAGGGCTTGGGGTCGTCCCAGGTGTTGGCCTCGGAGGTGAGCGTTATTCGGAAATCAGTGAGTGCATGCGGGGGGTGTGTGTGTGTGTATGTCTGTGTGTGAGAGGCACACAGAAGGAAAGAGTGTCTTTCTCTCCCAGCCTTGCCACACCCTTGCTCAAGATGTCCCTCTCGGCCAGGTGCAGCGGCTCACATCTGCAATCCCAGCACCCTGGTAGGCCAAGGCGGGTGGATCACTTGAGGTCAGGAGTTTGAGACCAGCCTGGGCGACAAGGCGAAACCTCATCTCTACCAAAAATGCAAAAATTAGCCGGGCTTGGTGGGAGGCTGAGGCCAGAGGATCGCTTGAGGCCAGGAGACGGAGGCTGCAATGAGCTGAGATTGTGCCACTGCACTCCAGCCTGGGCAGCAGAGTGAGACCCTGTCATTAAAAATAAAAATTTTAAAAAAGGCCGAGCATAGTGGTTCACACCTATAATCCCAGCACTTTGGGAGGCTGAGGCGGGCTGATCCCCTGAGATCAGGAGTCAAGACCAGTCTGGCCAACATGGGCTCCAGTGATTCCACCAGTGTCTCTACTACAACTGTAAAAAATTAGCTGGGCGTGGTGATGCATGCCTGTAATCCCAGCTACTCAGTGAACTGAGGCAGGAGAATCGCTTGAACCCAGGAGGCAGAGGTTGGGGTGACCCGAGATTGTGCCGCTCTGTTGAGCTGTCACTGTGTCTCCCTCCCTAAACCCGCCTACACGGCTCTTCCTGTGAGTGCCGCAGGCCAAATACACAGTAGGAGCTTAACAATTAAGACTTTTGGGGCTGGGCACTGTGGCTCATGCCTGTAATCTCAGCACTTTGGGAGACTGAATTGGGTGGATCGCTTGAGGCCAGGAGTTCGAGACCAGCCTGGACAACGTAGCAAGACCACCCCTCACCTGCCATCTTTACGAAATATTTAAAAATTAGCCAGGCATGGTGTGGGCCTGTAATTTCAGCTACTTGGGAGGCTGAGGCAGGAGGATCACTTGAAGCCAGGAGTTCACGGCTGCAATGAGCTATGATCAAGCCACTACATTCCAGCCTGGGCAACAGGGCAAGACCCTGGATTAAATGAAGGGGGAGGTGAGGAAGAGATACTGGGAGGGTGAGTCCATGAGCAGATGGCAAAAGGTGAGTAGGTCAGAAGACAGGGCCCAGGCAGGCGCGGTGGCTCACACCTGTAATCCCAGCACTTTGGGAGGCCAAGGTGGGTGGATCACCTGAGGTCCGGGGTTCGAGACCAGCCTGGCCCACATAGTGAAATCTGTCTCTACCTAAAATACAAAAATTAGCTGGGCCTGGTGGTGGATCCCTGTAATCCCAGCTGCTCGGGAGGCTGAGGCAGGAGAATCGCTTGAAACTGGGAGGCGGAGGTTGCAGTGAGCTGAGATCGCACCACTGTACTCCAGCCTGGGTGACAGAGCAAGACTCTGCCTCAAGACAAAAAAAAAAAAAAAAAAAAAGAAGACAGGGCCTGACTCTGGCAGGGAGGTGGCATTCCTGAGCTCTCCTGTCCCTCATCTCTCCAGGTATATCTCCAGCTGTAGCTGCCAAAGCAGCTAAATACGGTGAGTTCCCCCCAGGCTTTCCTGCCAGTGGCCTGCACCCCCTGCCATGCCCATCACCACCCTCCCCCACCCTCCCCCAACCCAGCTCGGGCCTCCCTCTGGTTCCTCCTACCCCTGAAGATCTTATCTAGGGCATTCCTTACCCCAGAACCCAGCAGGGACCTCAGGGCCTCCTCCCAATGGGTGTACCTTGTCCTGACCCCACCTGCCTCTTCTCAGGTGCTGCTGGCCTTGGAGGCGTCCTAGGGGGTGCCGGGCAGTTCCCACTTGGAGGTAGGGGCAGCCAGCCCTGCTGTGTAATCCTCAGCTCTGCCCAGCTCTAAAGGGGGCCTGTCTGTCTAGCAATGGGGACTCCTAAAGCCTATGACCACACAAGGACAGGAGACAGGGGCTCCAGAGGGTGTCCTGGGCAAAGGGGCAAGCTGAAAGGTTGGGGACAGGGCCAAGCTGAGCTCAGGCCACACCTGGTTGCTAGGTGGGGGCATGTTATATTGAGACAGCCACTCTGGCTATAGTGGGAGGGACGGGCTGAGCACGGTGGCTCCTGCCTGGAATCCCAGCACTTTGGGAGGCTGAGATGGGAGGATCTCTTGAGATCAGGAGTTAAGACCAGCCTGATCAACATGGAGAAACCTGGTCTCTACTAAAAAAAAAAAAAAAAAAAAAAAAAAAAAGCAAAAATTGACTGGGTGTGGTGGGCTGCCTGTAACCTCAGCAACTCAGGAGGCTGAGGCGGAATGGCTAGAGCTGGGGAAGCAGAGGCTGCAGTGAGCCAAGATCGCGCCACTGCACTCCAGCCTGGGCCACAGAGCAAGATCCCATCTCAAAAAAATAATGAAATAAAATATAAAAAATGCTATAGTTGGGGGAATGGAGAAGAGGTGGTCCCAGACAGAGGGTCTGGGGTGAGCTGGTGAGTCTGGACCCGGGTCCCACCCACACCAACCCACCAACCCAAAGTCTCTCCCGCAGGAGTGGCGGCAAGACCCGGCTTCGGACTGTCTCCCATTTTCCCAGGTACGCCAGGCTGCCTGCCCCTGGGCCCTGCCCTGGCGCTCCAGTCACCTCCCCCTCCTCTCCTGCATCATCTTCTGCTTGGAAGGACTGAGCCGGCACCTAGGGGTGGATCCCACAGCCTCAGGTCACACGAGGCTAGACCCCGAGCTAGATATAGAGCCTCCCCTCCTTCTTGCTTACCTCTTACAAAAACAGGGAGTGCCAGCTTTTTAAAAACACATTTCAGGCCTGGGAGGGTGGCTCACTCCTGTAATCCCAGCACTTTGGTAGGCCGAGGCAGATGGATCACGAGATCAAGAGAGTGAGACCATCCTGGCCAACATGGTGAAACCCTGTCTCTACTAAAAATACAAAAATTAGCTGGGCATGGTGGCGCGTGCCTGTAATCCCAGCTACTCAGGAGGCTGAGGCAGGAGAATTGGCTGAACCCAGGAGGTGGAGGTTGCAGTGAGCCGAGATTGCTCCTGTACTCCAGCCTGGTGCCTGGTGACAGAGCCAGCCTCTGTTTCAAAAAAAAAAAAACCAAAATACAAAAATTAGCTGGGTGTGGTGGCTCATGCCTGTAATCCTAGCTACTCGGGAGGCTGAGGCAGGAGAATCGCTTGAATCTGGGAGGAGGAGGTTGCAGTGAGCTGAGATGGCGCCACTGCATGCCAGCCTGGGTGACAGAGCGAGACTCTGTTTCAAAAGTGGGAAAACAACAACAACAACAAAAAAAACACACATTTCATGCCCCTCAAGGTCCCTGGAGGAGAGAGAGCTTTTCTACCATGTTGCAAAGCGGGGAGACTGGGGCTCAGAGAGTGCCAGGGACTGCTCCAAGATCACACAGTGAGCGGAGGCAGAGTCCAGGGCTCCTGGCACCCCAGCCCAGAACTTGGCGTCTGGCAACCCACACTGCCCCCTGCCCCCACCTCCGGCTGAATCCATGCTTGGTGTGAGGGCTTAGCCGGCTCCCCGGAAGTGGGCACTCTCACAGCCCCTCTCTTTGGCTTGCAGGTGGCGGCGTCGGGGGCTTGGGAGTTGGTGGTGAGTCTGCAACAAGAAATCACCTGATGCCTGGTGGGCCCATTTCAAGGAGGGTCCCTGAGCTTTCATAGGGTGGCTGCGGTGGCGGCCATAGCCCTGGGCTGGCACTCTGGTGTGGGGGCTTCAGGGAGCCCCTAGGGAAATCATGGAAGCTGGAACTCCAGCGCTGGGCTGGGAGAGGAGGAGCCAGGAATCCTGATTCCTGGGACTCCTGGCCTGCCCTTTGACGAGGCACCCAGAGCCAGACAGGGACCTGAGTCACCCCAGAGTTTACTGTCTGACTGCAGAGATTGACAAAGTCCTATAGAAAGGGAAATATAGTCTGGCGCGGTGGCTCACGCCTGCAATCCCAGCACTTTGGGAGTCTGAGGCAGGAGGATCGCTTGAGGCCAGGAGTTCGAGACCAGCCTGGGCAACATAGCAAGACCCCATGTGTACAAAATATTTCTTCCTTTTTTTTTTTTTTTGAGATGGAGTCTTGCTCTGTTGCCCACACTGGAGTGCAGTGGTGTGATCTCGGCTCACAGCAGCCTCCACCCCCTGGGTTCAAGTGATTCTCCTGTCTCAGCCTCCCAGGGAGCTGGGGTTACAGGCGCCCACCACCACACCCGGCTACGTTTTATATTTTTAGTAGAAATGGGGTTTCACCACGTTAGTCACGCTGGTCTCGAACTCCTGACATCAGGTGATCCACCCGCCTCAGCCTCCCAAAGCGCTGGGATTACAGGCATAAGCCACCATGCCCCGCCTAAGATATTTCAAACAGAAAGAGAAATAAGCTGTGTAAGGGAAGAATAAGGTCAGGAGAAGCAGGGTGGGCTGGGAGGGGGAGCTGAGTGGTCAAGTGGGCGAGGCTGGGACGGGGACATGGCTTGGGCACCTGCTGAGCCGCTCAGGTCTCCACAGAGCGGATGCATCTGTGATTTACGAGGAGCATGGCTGGGCGGGGCTGAGGGGCAGGCTGGAGGCAGGAAGGCCTTTGGAACCTGCTACGACAGAATGGAGGCCAGGTGCAGGGTGGCGCAGCTGGGAGAGGCAGGAAAGCGGGCTGCCTCCTCCACCCTGTCCTTCCTATCCACAGGAAAACCCCCCAAGCCCTACGGAGGGGCCCTGGGAGCCCTGGGGTACCAAGGTGAGTAGAGATTCAGCCCCACAAAGAGGCAGGGCTGGAGGGGCAGAGACAGAGGCGGAGGGATAGTCCGCCAGCCTGGCTTCTGGAGCGGGCAGGGTACAGAGGGGGATGGATGCCCCCCGCCCATCCCTCCTGCCTCCTCCACAGACATTCAGAGCTGGGTGTGGACTCAGCGTCCTCCAAGCTCACCCTCCCAAAGTCCCTCAGCCTGCTACAGGAAATGAGCTGGCAGAAGACTGGAGGGGCAGGGAGGGAGAAGGGCTGGGATCATCGGAGCCGCAGAGTCAGGGACATCAGAGGGTGTGTCGACGGTGGGGGGCATCCAAGGTGGCCCTGGGCTGGGTGGGGAGGGCTGAGGCCACCCTCTAGGGCTCAGCCACCTTCCTGCTCAAAGATGCAGGCCTGGCCGGGCACCGTGGCTCACACCTGTAATCCCAGCACTTCGGGAGGCCGAGGTGGGAGGATCACATGAGCCCAGGAGTTTGAGACCAGACTGGGCAACAAGGGAGACCACCCTGTCTCTGCAAAAATTTTAAAAATTAGCTGGGTGTGGTGGTGTGAATCTGTAGTCTCAGCTCCTCCGGAGGCTGAGGTGAGAAGATTGCTTGAGCCCAGGAGTTCAAGGCTGCAGTGAGCTGTGACCACGCCATCACACAGCAGCCTGGGCAATAGAGCAAGATCCCACCCCCGCCCCCCAGAAAGATGTCGATTCGCCTCTGGGGAGGCTGTGGGCAGTTCTTTCACTACCCCCACAAGGTCCCTCCATGTGATACCAGAAAGAGTCCCAGAGGTTACTCAGGACTGTGAATTTCCTTCCACACAGCCCTGTTCCCCACTGCACAGATGAGACAGCTGAGGCCAGGGGTGGGGGGCAGAGGCAAGACCAAACTGACCCTTTGCAGAGTGCCCAGTTTTCAACCGGACAGCAGTCTTGCTTGTGACCCTATCATGGTATCATCTCCCAAACAAGCAGACAAACTTCAGAGACAGGGCCGGGTGTGGTGGCTCATGCCTGTAATCCCAAGACTTTGTGAGGCCGAGGCAGACAGGTCACCTGAGGTCAGGAGTTCAAGACCAGCCTGGTCAGCATGGCGAGACCCCCGTCTCTACTAAAAATACAAAAATTAGCCGGGCGTGGTGGCGCACGCCTGTAATCCCAGCTACTCTAGAGGCTGAGGCAGGAGAATTGCTTGAACTCAGGAGGCAGAGGTTGGGGTGAGCCGAGATTATGCCACTGCCCTCCAGCCTGGGGGACAGAGCAAGACTCCGTCTCAAAAAAAAAAAAAAAAAAAAAAAAAAAAAGCAGAAAGAAACAGAGGCAGATGTCTGTTCCTGCCCTACTCTCTGCTTGCTGCCACCAGGTGGCGGTAAGGAGCCACATCTGGCTCTAGCTGGGGTAGGATCTGCACCAGGCCCGGGTACTAGACAATGGTGCCTCACCTAACGCAGACTGATGCCTTGAAACAGGTTCACCCATCAGACCATTCCCAGGAGCGGGTAGGAATCCTGGGTTCGAGTCCCAGCTCAGACGCTAAGTGGATAAGACCCTCTCTCCCTCTGCTGGCCCTCAGTTTACTTACCTGATGCCCTCTCAGCTGTATGGATCCACCCCGCTCCCTGAGAGGGCCAGACGTGCAGACACTGACTCTCCCTTCACCCCAACTTCCTTGGTGGAGCTGCTCTTAGCTTTTTCTCGAAACGCTTCTCGGAGCAGTGGAGCCGGTACAGACACCCTGTCCAGGCCCGGTCTTTCCCAGGCATACCCCATGACCTGCCCCCTTTTCTGCTAGCGTTGGTTTCATCCAAGCAGTATCTTTTTTTCTTTTTTTTTTGGACGGGGGAGACAGAGTCTCCCTCTGTCACCCAGGCTGGAGTGCAGTGGCGCGATCTCCGCTTGCTGCAACCTCTGCCTCTCGGGTTCAAGCGATTCTCCTGCCTCAGCCTCCTGAGAAGCTGGGATTACTGGCGCGCGCCACCACACCTGGCTGGTTTTTGCATTTTTAGTAGAGACAGGGTTTCACCGTGTTGGCCAGGCGGGTCTCGAACTCCTGACCTCATGATCCACTTGCCTTGGCCTCCCAAGGTGCTGGGATTACAGGTGTGGGCCACCTTGCCTGGCCTCATCCAAGTAATGTCTTGGGGGCTTCTCCCGGCCCCATCTGCCCAGTGGAAGTTGATGTCATGGGCCAGGTCTGAGTTTGGCCTGGGGCCACAGCTTGGTTTCTCGCGGCTTCTTGGAGCCTCCGTCTGAGCGGGTCAGAGCAGGCGGGAATGAGAGCTGCCCCTGAGAAGGGCCAGGCTCCCAGTGATGTGCCCCTCCTCCCGTCCAGCTGGGGCCTGCCTGGGGAAAGCTTGCGGCCGGAAGAGAAAATGAGCTTCCCAGGACCCCTGACTCACGACCTCATCAACGTTGGTGCTACTGCTTGGTGGAGAATGTAAACCCTTTGTGACCCTATCCCATGCCCCTCCGACTCCCCACCCCAGGAGGGAACGGGCAGGCCGGGCGGCCTTGCAGATCCACAGGGCAAGGAAAAAGACGGGAGTGGTCAAGGGCCCCAACCGGGAGCCCCCACTTCAGAGGCAAGGGCTTGCGGTCCTGGCCCCCGGCCCATCCCTTCCCACCTAGGAGCTCCCCCTCCATACAGCCTCCATCTCCAGGGGAACTTGGTGCTACATGCTGGTGCTCTTATCTTCCTGGGGGGAGGGAGGAGGGAAGGGTGGCCCCTCGGAGAACCCCCTCCCCAGGGGCTCCTCTAAAGATGGTGCAGACACTTCCTGGGCAGTGCCAGCTCCTCCTGCCCACCAGGACCCACCCTTGGCTGCCATCCAGTTGGTACCCAAGCACCTGAAGCCTCAAAGCTGGATTCGCTCACAGCATCCTCCTCCCCCCCGATCGCTGTTCCCCACATCTGGGGTGCCCTTGGGTTGGAAAACCACCCCACACTGGGAATAGCCGCCTTGCTCTTGGAGAATCCATCCACCCGTCCGTCCATTCGTCCATCCGTCCGTCCACCCATGTCCCCAGTTGACCACCCGGCACCCCTGGCCGGCTGAGTGCACCCGCCATCAACCTGGTTGACCTGTCATGGCAGCCTGTGCCCTGCCTCCACCCCCACCCGACGCTCCCCAGGGCGTGCGGGGCCGAGCAGACTGGGGTGCCAGCAGGCATCTCCTTTTCACCCAAGGTGTCCCACATGCAGTACTGTATTCCCCACCCCTCCCTGGGTCCACTGGACTTCAAAGCAGTTCCCACCCCCGCCCCTCCCATCTTTTTGTGTCTCGCTGTGATAGATCAATAAATATTTTATTTTTTGTCCTGGATATTTGGGGATTATTTTTGATTGTTGATGTTCTCTTTTGGTTTTATTTTTGTGGTTCATTGAAAAAAAAGAGAATTTTTTTTTTTTTTCTGATCCGGGGAGCTGTATCCTCAGTAGAAAAATCATTTTAATCACTCTGATATAACTCTGGATGAAACACATCTTTTTTTTTTTTAATAAGAAAAGAGAATTAACTGCTTCAGAAAAGACTAATAAATGAAAACCTTTAAAGGAAACTGTGTCTTGGGTTTCTTTATATGATTTCATCTGCCTTCAACTCCCCGGCCTGCAGGCGGATCAGAGCTCTGCTTCTGGGAACCTTCCACGGTGTATTTGAAAGGTTCCCAACCAAAAGTTCCTGCTGCTGGCTTCTGGGGCATCGATCTTTCTCCAAGTTTGGCTTGTTCTTTAACAATGAGGCCAGGAGATTGAGACCGACTGGGTGACATAGTGAGACCCCTATCTCTACAAAAAAAAAATTACCCAAGAGTGGTGGCTTATGCCTGTGGTCCCAGCTACTCGGGAGGCTGGGGTGGGAGGATCACTTGAGTCCAGGAGTTCGAGGCTGCAGTGAGTTATGATTGTGTCACTGCACTCCAGCCTGGGTGAGACAGTAAGACCCTGCCTCAACAGAGAGAGAGACAGAGACAGAGAGGAAAGATGGCTGACCTAAGAAAACTCAGAAGACAGTCAAGGGTAACCATTTTCCTCTGAAACAGTCCCCTCTAAGGAAGACCCACTCTTGTGTGTGGCCCATTAAGGCATCATTTGACTTCTTTGAGAAGCGCAGGCTCAGCTCCACCCTTACTCAGATGTTCCCATTCCCATTCTGGCCCTTCCTCCTCACTTTGAGGCCAGAAGTCCATAGGGCCTGGGAACGTGCTCACCTGCAGCCCACATCCCCATCTCTAGACCACACTCTGGGTACCAGATCCTGGACTTCCCTCCCCAAACACCAAGCCTTCTTCCAGGACTCACAGCCTCAGGCCTGCGCCATCCTCCTGAGAGGGGGCCCCTGTGCTGAGTGTGCACACCTATAAGCCAGAAACGTGGCAACAGAGCTACTCATGGGGAGTGTGGATGGGGCTCACCGTGCAGACTGGAGCACCTACAGGTTTGCACGCAAGGACCTTTGAGGTGCCAGAAGGAGCTGGGAGGGAAAGAGAAAGCTGGTGGAGGGTAGTGCTCAGGGAGAGCTTCCCAGAGGACAGCAAAGGGCAAAAACATTTTACTAGGCAAAGAATAGAACAGAGAAGAAGGTCAAGCCTTTCAGGTGGAGAACAGGACAGCCAGAATGTCTGGCAGGAGAGGGCAGCGCTAGGGACTGATGGATGGATCAGAGGGGCCGATGGGTGTGGTTCAGGGAGATGCACAGAGGGCTGCTGCCATGGTCCTGGGAGGTGTGACACAGCCTACCCCTAGAGTAGCGGCAAAGGAGAGCTATCCACCCATCCCCCCATCCACCCGTTCATCTGTCCACCCATCCACCCACGCACCCACCCACCTGCCACCCATCCACCCATCCATCATACATACACTCAGCCATCTGTCCATCTACCCATCTACCCTTCCACCCATCCATCCATCCATTCACTCATCCACCCACCTATTCATCCACCTGTTCATCCATCTACCCATCTACCCAACCAGCCATCCACCCATCCACACATCGATCCATCCATCCATCCATCCATCCACTTATCCACCCATCCATCTACCCATCCACAATAAAATAGGCCAGGCACGGTGTCTTACGCCTGTAATCCGAGCACTTTGGGAGGCTGAGGCAGGCAGATCACTTGAGGTCAAGAGTTTGAGACCAGCCTGGCTAACATGGCAAAATCCTATCTCTACTAGAAATACAAAAAAAAAAAAAAAAAAAAAAAATTAGGTCTGGCACAGTAGCTCACGCCTGTAATCCCAGCACTTTGGGAGGCTGAGGCAGGCAAATCACCTGAGGTCGGGAGTTCAAGACCAGACTGACCAATATGGAGAAACCCCGTCTCTACTAAAAATGCAAAATTACCTGGGCGTGGTGGTGCATGCCTGTAATTCCAGCTACTCAGGAGGCTGAGGCAGAAATCCTTGAACCCAGGATGCAGAGGTTGCAGTGAGCCGAGATCACGCCATTGCACTCCAGCCTGGACAACAAGAGCAAAACTCTGTCTCAGAAAAAAAAAAAAAAAAAAAAATTAGCTGGGCCTGGTGGTGCATGTTTGTAATCCCAGCTACTCCAGAGGCTGAGACAGGTGAATCACTTAAACACAGGAGGCGAAGGTTGTGGTGAACTGAGATTGCGTCTCAAAAAAAGAATTTTTTTTAAAGATTATATCTCCAAATACAGTCATGTTCTGCAGTATTGGAGTTAGTGCTTCAACATGTAAATTTTGGGGAGACACACTTCCACCCCTAAGAGTTACCTCATATGGAAAAGGGGTTTTTGTAGATGGGATTAAGTCAGGATCTTCACAGGGAGGGAGATTAACTGCAGGCCTCTCAGTCCCATCATAGGTATTCTTATGAGAAGCTAGGCCGGGGCGGAGTGGCTCATGACTATAATCCCAACACTTTGGGAGGCCAAGGCAGGAGGATCACTTAAGCCTAGGAGGTCAAGGCTGCAGTGAGCTATGGTTGTGCCACTGCACACTCCAATCTGGGTGACAGAGTAAGACCCCGTCTCTGGGGCGGGGGGCTGGCGGGGGGAGAAGAAGCAGCAGCAGCTAGAATACTCATGAGCCAACAAATGGAAAAATCTAGATAAAATGGATACATTCCTAGAAAGCCACAACCTGCCAAGACTGAATCATGAAGAAATAGAAAATCAGCATAGACCAATAATGAGTAAGGAGACTGAATCAGTAATAAAAAGTCTCCCAATAGAGAAAAGCCCAGGACCAGATGGCTTCACTGGAGAATTCTAACAAACATTTAAAAAATTAACACCAATCCTCCTGACACTGCCAGAAAATTGAAGAAGAAGGAACAAATCCAATCTCATTTTCACAGGCCAGCAATGGCCATGGTGGCTCACACCTGTAATCCCAGCACTCTGGGAGGCTGAGGCGGGCGGATCACGAGATCAGGAGCTCAAGACCATCCTGGCCAACATGGTGAAACGCATCTCTACTAAAAATACAAAAAATTAGCTGGGCGTGGTGGCGCGTGCCTGTAATCCCAGCTACTTGGAAGGCTGAGGCAGGAGAATTGCTTGAACACGGGAGGCGGAGGTTGGAGTGTGCCGAGATCGCGCCACTGCACTCCAGCCTGCACAACAGAGCAAGACTCTGTCTCAAAAACATTTTCTTTCACTCAATATGCAAAAAATTTTGAAAACAAAAAAAGAGGCCAGCATTATGCTACTACCAAAGACACAAGAAGAGCAAACTACCGGCCAGTATCCCTTATGAACACGGATGCAAAAATCCTCAACAAAATGCAAGCAAAACAAATTCAATCACAGATTAAAAACAAGTGCAATTTCTCCTGAAATGTAAGGATGTTTCAACACATGAAAATCTATCCCTAAAAAACAACACGTAAACAGAATGAAAGACAATCACATAATCCCCTCAGTTGCTGCAGAAAAAGCAGCAAGATCCAATACCCTTTCATGATAAAAACATTCAATGAACTAGGAATAGAAGCAAACCACTTCACCTAATAAAGCCTATGATGAAAGCCCAAAGCTAACATCATACTTCATGGTGAAAGACTGGGCTAGGCGTGGTGGCTCACACCTGTAATCCCAGCACTTTCGGAGGCCGAGGGAGGCAGATCTCTTGACCCAGGAGTTCAAGACCAGCCTGGGCAACATGGCAAAGCCCCATCTCTTTTTTTTTTGGAGATGGAGTTTCACTGTTGTTACCCAGGCTGGAGTGCAATGGTGCAATCTTGGCTCACCGCAACCTCCGCCTCCCGGGTTCAGGCAATTCTCCTGCCTCAGCCTCCTGAGTAGCTGGGATTACAGGCACGTGCCACCATGCCCAGCTAATTTTTTGTATTTTTAGTAGAGACGGGGTTTCACCATGTTGACCAGGATGGTCTCGATCTCTCGACCTCGTGATCCACCCGCCTCGGCCTCCCAAAGTGCTGGGATTACAGGCTTGAGCCACTGCCTCTGTTGCCCAAGCTAGAGTGTAGTCATGTAATCCTAGCTCAGTGCAGCCTGGAAATCCCGGCCTCAAGCAATCCTCCTGGCTCAGCCTCCAAAGTAGCTAGGACCGCAGTCACGTAGCACCATACATGGTAATTTTTTTTTTTTTTTTTGGTAGAGATCTCACTATGTTGCCCAGGCTAGTTTCAAACTTCTGGCCTCAAGCGATCCTCCTGCCTTGGCCTCTCAAATAGCTGGGATTACAGGTGTGAGCCACCATGACTGACCATCACGGTTTTAACAAAAATAACCAAGGAGAGAAAAAATAAGGGCAAAGTAGTAGCCAGAGGCGAGGTCCTAAAAGCACAGAAGCAAGAACCTCAGGGTTAGAAAGCAAAGGAACGTCACTCTTTGAGCTGCATGTTCAGAGGCTCTGCAGGATGGCAGGGCATCAGGACGTGACTTGGGAGGCTGTTGCTCTCAGTCCCCAACTAGGCCAAGAAGGACAAAGAAGTGCTGGAATTCTGGATGTGTGTTATACGCACAGCCGAGAGGATTTGCCGACGGATCAGATGCAGGGAGTCAAGAGACGGAACGGGAGGCGTCACGCCATGCTGCAGCCTTGGAGTTCCGGCTGCTAGGAAGGCTGGGATGGGAGGATCGCTTGAGCCTGGGAGGTCAAGACTGCAGTGAGCTTTGATCAAGCCACTGCCCACCGCCTGGGTGATAGAGGGAGATCTTGTGTGAAAAAAAAAAAAAAAAAAAAAAAAGAAGAAGAAGGAGAAGGAGAATGCCTGTGAATTTAGCCTGAATTACTGGATGACGCTGGTATCATTTACTGAGATAAGAAACGTGGGGAGGAACCATCCAGGCACAAATTATGAGCTCTGATCTGGACGTGTTAACCTTGAAGTCCCGGCCGGGTTCCGTGGCTCACACCTGTAATCCCAGCACTTTGGGAAGCCGAGGCAGGCAGATCACAAGGTTAGGAGTTCGAGACACACCTGGCCAATGTGGTGAAGCCCCATCTCTACTAAAAATACAAAAAATTAGCCAGGTGTGGTGGCATGCGCCTGTAGTCCCAGCTACTCTGGAGGCTGAGGCAGAGAGTTGTTTGAACCCGGGAGACAGAGGTTGCTCTGA